AAAAAAAAAAAAAAAAAAAAAAAAAAAAAAAAAAAAAAAAAAAAAAAAAAAAAAAAAAGAAAAAACCTCCCAAAAAAATTATATAAATAACAATTCATAATTTTAAAACATCGACCATACATATGTATACTATATATTTATACACAATACGCAAGCTTGTCGTGTTTTTTCCCGTCTCCTATGTCGCATTCGTTATGTTCTCTGTACCCACCATCAGCTGGCCGAGGAGCTATATCGCGACTACCAAATACCAGAAGACCAGGCGGCCAAGATAACAAGCTCGTACCTGAAGCAGTTCCGCAAGTGTCCGGACAACCAGGTGTCGAGCCTCGAGTCGTGGCGCACCCAGCTCTGGAGCCGCGCCCTGGGCGAGAAGCACGCCCGGCTGGTAAAGCCCGTGTACGAGCGCTGGCTGCACCTGAGGTACCAACAACTCGCCCTCACCCCCGAAACAGTGGCCATGTTGCGAGGACTGAGGAAGAAGTACCTCCTGGGACTCATCACCAACGGGCCCTCCAACGCCCAGCGCGAAAAAATCCACGAACTTGGGCTCGGCCAGTACTTCGACGTGATGCTCGTGTCCGGCGATCTGCCCTGGGAGAAGCCCCAGCCCAGGATCTTCCACGAGGCCTGCCGTTATCTCGCAGTTAGGCCCGATAATTGTATCATGGTGGGGGATAAGTTAGAGACCGACATCATTGGTAAGCGGCGGTGGAGCTTTTGCTTTGCCCTTTATTTCTTTATCTGATCTGCTCACCCTGGGTTGGCACAATTGTATGTGTCATAATTATGTGTTGTCCGCGAAATTTCTTTTTTAAGAGAATTGTAGCGAAGAGAGAAAAATTGTATTCTTTCCTTTCATCAAATGAGTACTCCATCTCAATGGTAATACGTCGGTATATCTATTAATTATACCAAAAATATTAATTCTGAAACCAGTCGTAGATTACATCGTTGATTCAGTGTTGATTTCAGTCGCTATTAGTAGTCGACTTCAAAATAATACTTTTTTCATGTTAGCATTGTTGTTGTAATTTTAATAAATTCTTTTTACACTTTTAACTTCAATACTGTCACGTTGATAATAAATCAATGGTAATTCAATGCTAAATCAACACGAAATCAACGTAGAATTAACGATAATTTAAGACTGATTTCAACGTTGATTAACCCTATTCGCTCTGTGCTCAAACGGCGAAAATTCGAACTTCGATACCCAAATCCTATTTGAAATACTTGTAATCACCGACACTAGTGCCAAATCCATCATTTTGGCACTAGTGTCGGCGAATATATGTATTTAAAACGGTGTATATGAATAATGTACTACTATAGGATAGCATTAATATTTTTAATTGTATATATATAATAACCGTCCTTAACCTCTTCATTTTATTCATTCACTAATTAGAAATGTCAGAAGAACCTAAAAAATACTTTGAAGTGATCAAAATGTAATTTTATTTTTTACGCGTCTTTTCTATTAATTTTTATCAACATCTTGTTGATCAGTTCTTTGAAATACGAAATAAACTATTATAGACTAATTTGATTTTAAGGCATTTATTTTCAATTTTTCTGTACTGTATGTTCTTTCATATTTCAATGAGATATGATTGACCCGATGTATCAAGAATAACATTTTTTTTTTTCAATATTTAACTAAAACTAAATTTAGGGGTTGACTGTACCGTTATAACCCCTTTCAGCAATTAGTGCCCAATGCTACTTTAGTCGGGGAGCCAGAAGCTCACAAAACACGATTTTTCGTTGTTGGATGGAATTTAACGAAATCTCGCAAAAACTATAGATTGTTGTCCATATAATGATCCTTTAAAAAAGTTAAAATGAACCTGATCATAAATTCATTGCATGCTCGTAAACGTACTCGTATACGAGTATCGTTTCTCGGCTTTTGTTGAGCATGCAATTAATTTATTTTGTTTGTAAATTAATTAAAAAATATGTGTAATCGAATGCATTTCATTTCAAAGCTCTATCTTGCAAATTGACGAAGTTACGAACCACAAAAAGTGGTTTTTGTTGATAACAAAAAAAACATTGTTAAAAAATTTTGAAAACCGGCTTAATAAATAATAGATAATGTTATCATCACCCACCGATTCCAATTAGTTTTATCAAGATCCGCTTTTTGAGACAGGATTTACAGCGTTCTAAATTTTCAAGTTAACAATTTGGCAGTAAATCGCCATATTGCTTTTGAAAAAGTGGATCTGGTGCATTTTGTTAACAATACTAATACCTATCTAATATAAAAATATCAACGATAAAAAACGATTTCTTCGATCATTTTCTCATATCTCTTTGTATTTAACTTTTTACAACTTTACCGCAAGTTTTCGGTAAGAATAAACAATTTTTAGCTCTTGAAAAAAATTTACCACTACGTAAAATCATCAGTTAAACAACTTTTGTACTTAAATTTTTTTCGATAAAATGCTTCATTTCCGAGATATTGTGAGATCTTGGTTTTTAAAGTTAATTGCAATAAAAAAGGGTCTTCCTGATTAGGTTCACTTTAACTTTTTTAAAGGATCATTCACTTGAAAATGTCGTATAACTCGCATAAGTGGGCAAATTTTTCATTGTTTTTTTATTATTTTTTTTTTTTTTTTATAATGTAATTTTTTACACTGATGTACACTGGTAGAGGCACTCGAAGTTGGAATCTTTGCTCAATTATAGTAAAAAGTTATCTTACTCGTAACTTAAACACCAAGTGTTGAAAAAAATTTCCCATCATAATTATAGAGAAAACAAAATTTGTTTGTAGAGTATTTAAAAAATTATTTTCGGTACCACTTGCTAGGTATGTTATGCACATATATAAATGTGCGTATCCAGGGTGCAGCTTATTGATTGTTAATAATATTATAATATGGTGTATAGCAACGTAATTGAATAGAAAAGAAAGATGAAGAAAAATTCCATGTCGAACCATCTTGTGTGTGTTTTATTTCCAGAGAGTCTGTATTGTTACGGAATCGTGTAATGAAAAAATTAAACTTGAGCGCAAAGTATCTCTTAGCATTTGTTGGTAAACCTTAAATTTTATTACGAAAAAAAAAAACAGAGTTTATACATACACATACATGTACATGCATCATCATTCCACTACACGTAAGTGACATTCATATACCCTGTCAGTACTAATCTAAAACATTTGCACGATGTCTGTAGGTGGTATTGCGGCCGGATTCGCCGGTACCGTGTGGATACCCTTCGGCGACAGTCGACTTCTCGAAAAAGATGGTCCAAAGCCCAACTACACGATCAAAAAAGTCACCGACTTACTTAAAATCCTAAATTATGGACCCGATGCCCACGAGTACGAGGACTCGTCGTCCAACGCTTCGGATGGCATGTAAGAGGTGATTCGGGATTTGTATTACACGTACACACTGCACGATACTGCTGAACTGCGGGAGCAGCAAGAGGAGGCCCAAAGATGATGGCGATTCAAGAGTCTCAATGAAGAGAGAATTGCCAAATGCAATGAAGCATACCATGGAATCTTTATTATAAGAAGGACCTGGTGTCCGATTTTCATTACTTAGTATTTTTCTTTTTTTATCAAGCTTGAGGTGTCGAATTTGTTATTACTTTACTTTTTTTTTACTACTATTAGTGCATAATAGCTTTTATTTTTTTTTTTTTTTCAATTTTCTTACTCCAAGTGAAAGAGCAATGGTGATATTTAGGTAATTGTAGTTTTTTAATGCAGCTGTAGAGGGCAGTGTACAATTATTATTTGTGATTCATGTAGTACCTAATTATCCTTCCTTCATTTTCCTTTGTCGTATGAAAAAAATACCAATGTCCTGTTGATAGGCGTATCTATAGTTGTCTCGGTTGTACAATATGCTGTGTATTTGAAGAATACGAGCGTGTCTCACTCGACATAATGGTTTATTTCGATAAACACAATGTAAGTATATAAATAGGTCTGGATGCACTCTAGCGATGAGCTATGCGTCTATTCTCATGGTACAAGAGCAGCCTTAAATTTTTAGCAAGTAGTCTTTTACAAAGCAGAGGTCAATTTTTTGTTCAACTCTCTGGCATATCTCGTATCAAGGTGTAAATGCGTAATCCAAAAAAGAATTTATGTAACTAATGTACAAATCTGTAAGGTCACGTACACTATACAAAGTACTGCTTAGGGGTGAAGAAACTACATTGATGAATAGAGTTGTAATAAAAACTATTAATAATAATAAGAAAAATATCTCAAGTAGTTTTGTATCACGTTTTTAATCCAATGTAACATATATATCAAATAATTAAAAAGATAAACGACTAGATGGATAGCTCCTACAATTACTTAATGGTTGTGTATATGTATGTGTATAGAAAAAAAAAAAAAAAGAAAGATTCACCTTTTACCTTAAAAGCTATAAACTATTCTACCTAATAATAATGCGTATATGTACATTAAAATATATTTTTTCACTGTACATTTTTTGATTGTTCAAAACACTTGTTACGCAAGTCAAGTTAGCAATATCCACAAAACATATAATTATATTGTACCATACGTGTAATAGTCATCTCAAAATGATCTGCTACTATCGAAGAAATAAAAAATGTGTATAATATAGATTACCATTGTCACGTTTACTCTCCACTAATTTCATGTTACCTATTTAGAAATAATTTTTATACTATTTGTTGTTACAAAAAATCGTTTGAGATGCGTAAAATCTCAATTTTGTCAGTCCGTCATAACATATTAAACAAAAAATATTACGTAAAAGCCCGTTTGCAGCTTGTTCACGTGGGTGGGGTCCGAAATATCGACAGTCCACTTTAGTTTTGTAGTAAAACAATGAACGTTTGGGGGAAGGGTCCAAAATAATGACAGTCCACCTCAATTTTGTACTAAAACTATGACATGTTTATTCCAGTGACACGTATTTCGACGACAGCGACAGCACAGTACAACGACGGTTCATTATTTCGACAGCCAATCACAAGGCAGTTCGCTTTGACTTTCTACTTATACTGCTCCGTGATTGGCTGTCGATGTCGCTGCCGTCGAATTAAACTTCGCTGGAATAAACATTCATAGTTTTACTGCAAAATTGAAGTGAACTGTCGTTATTTCGGAGCGCTCCACCAAAACGAGAGACTTATCCCACCAAGAAATCGGATGCAAAGTTAAACTTTTGTAAAATTGTGTAAGCCCGTATAAAATTGAAGCCCAAACGTGTATCCAAAGGTTTAAAAGAAAAAGAAAGAAAGTTCAGTCGGTTGGAAAATAAAAAAATCACGAGCTGTCGGTGGACGCGCTGCTCTCCGAATTCTCGCCCACCGTGAGCAGGCAATGCGTAGGATTCGACAAGTTTCTACAGTTGGTCCTGGCGAACCGGCAGTTCTCCGCGCAACTACCGGTCAATGATCCAGCCCGGCACTTGGACTCGCAGTTCCTGGACTCGCTCTTCCTGAAGAAGCCGCTCGTTATCTCGGAGAGCGACTTGTTCCACGAGTCGACGACCTTGAAGCCGCTAGCCCCGGAACTGGTCCTCCTGCGAGTCGGCCGCCTCATCCTCGAAGCGTCCTCCGAGCGCGCGTACCCTGGGACCTCCGAGCCCGAGGACACCGAGTCCGAACTACCTCGGCTCACCTGCCAGATCTGATGCTGCTCCTGTAGCTGTTGCTGTTGCTGCTGCTGCTGAGCATTGGCTACTCGCGCGTAAAGTTCGGTCACCGTCGAGTACCGCCGGTTCGACACCTGCTTTCGGGACGGAAATCGGTATCGGACTGATCGTATACGATTCACGCGCGCGGTCGCACCTCCTCGGACTTGTTAGCGGCAGGCCGCGGGGACGACGTCGATTCAGGGGTCTTGACGCTCGTCCGCTCCTCCTCGTCCTCCTCCGCGCTACTACTGCTACTGGTAGTGGTGCTGCTGCTGCTGTCCGAGTACGCGTTCTTGGAGTAATTCACGGTGTCCGAGCTGTCGTCGTCGTCGCCTCTGGTCTCCGATTCTTCCTTGACCGTCGGGAGGTCTTTTTCGTTGTCGTCGTCCGATTTTTCCGTCTCGGTTGACGAGTCCCCATCGGGTGTTCCGGGTCGAGAGACAGGCGCCTCCTCTGCCTCCGTTTCGATCTCCTCGTCGATATCCTCGTGATCGTCCGACGCTGGCGCGGGATTTTTCAGGGATTCGGCTTTGGTTTCGATCTCCTCCTCGATCTCATCGGGGTCGTCCGATGACGGCGTGGAGTTTTGTAGGGATACAGATTTGATTTTGACCTCCTCTTCGGGCTCTTCGCGCTGCAGTGGAGGCTTCTCTTCTGTACAACAAGATTTTTGTTGAGATCAGTTATGTGTACGAAAACCGGCATATTTCAAGGACGGTATGGACATACATTTGAAATGGGTTTTTAATTGTAAACATATTATTTTTTGTATTGCTCGTGACCAAAGTAAGTTACAACATTTTGGGCCCCGCTGGAGAATATTTTTTCGACGACTTTCTTATTAAACTTCGCCATTGCACTTATATCATATACAAAAACAGCTATGTTTTAACGCACCCAAACGTTTCAAAAATATACATAAGATTACGGGCTCTTGATTTTTAGTTTAGAGAGACTGAATTTACGTAAATTCAAGAAGGGAATGATGGTTTTTTTTCCAGTAATTTTTTAAGACATCGAGTTCAGATTCTCCTAAAATTTTGACCAAGATCTTATTCAGTTATGGTTATTAATCCATTGAAGTTTCAAAACAATTCTTCGTATAATACTCCACGTGTATGTACGAAATGACAAGGTTTACTTATATTTAATATGGGCAACACAAAAACGCGTCGAAGATCTTACTTTTAACTCGTATTAATGGAAAAAATTTCTATATCAGAAATGCGTGAAAAACTAATACGTTATCCCTTGCACATTTGGTGATTTTGTTAATCGATGTACACAATTATGAACAATTTTATACGCTACTCATGTGGGACAAATTCTGCACTGGTGTAAATAACTATATTATTGCTTGATTGACTGAACGATACATGTATTAAGAGTGCGTAATACTATACCCAGCTTGTATGATTTCGCCCCATTTTTCCCTGCACAATAAGTCAGTCGATGATTATAGACCGATAATACTATAGATGCGTGCAAAAATTGTAATAATCAATTAAAAAACTGTTTTAATTATTGATTAGTTGTAGCAGGGGTAAGTATTAACACGCCAGCGGTTTTGGTATAGGACTGTTAACTTGTTAATCAATGAATTTGCTTAATTTAATTTCAATATCTTGCTTTTCTAACTATATCATTTTAAATAAGTCATTAAAACAAGCCTATTTCGGTGCATATCAGATCAGCAAAAACCGTTTAGAAATCAATTCACAAAATACATTATACTTCATTCCCTGAACAAAAAGTATATCACTACAGTTTCTGACGATTCTCAAATCAACGTCCAACCAAATAGTCGAGCATAACGATAAAAACCAATACTCACCCATAACGATCTTCAACACCGCACCAGACCGATCTGGAGACGGTTCACGGCTGGACACTTCCTTTATCTCTGGTTCCCTAACCTCCTTCTGCAGCGACTCCATAGATGTCCTCATTCCTTTTTTCACCGACTCCACAGTTCCCCTAACTCCCCGCTTTGGTGGCTCTACCGAGCTCCTCCTAGCTCCTCGCCTAGACGTCACAATCGAACTTCCAGACCGTGACGAAGCAGTTGATGGCCTCGTCGTCTTGGGCGCTGGTACCGCGGCAGCGCTCTTCAAATTCCTATTTCTTTCGAGTTTCTGGTCTTTGTTCAAAACGACACCAACGTCCCTCTTTTGCGGCTTATTGTCTTTCACCTCGTCGGACGCGACTTTCGGCGCGCTCGATTTTTTGTCCTTTTCCAGAACTTGCACGTGTTTTTTACAGGGCCTGTGGGTGAAATAATTATCATCAACATGTATTTGTTCGACAAAGCCGTCATTCTGAGAAATAATAACAAATGAGTCTGAAGCTAGTGGACGATTCAGGTAAAGCGGTGATGCTTGTTGAATTATATGGCTTATGTGATTAATAAACGGGTCAATGCAGAGTTAGAACATGAAATTTTTTTTAAGTTGAGCACCGCTGCTTTACGCGAATTGGCCGTTATAGCTTCAAACTCATCGATAACAATAATGATGCTCACTGTCCATCACAGTCGCACAAGCCCAGCCGCCACTTTTCGCACTTCTCCAGTGCTTCCCTCTGCTGGAGGCTCAGGTAAGCGTATTGGCGACGGATCAGCTCCGGGGAGAGCGATTTCATGGCAAAGTCCGTGCTCTCCTTGCGAAGGATGCCCCGCAGTCTTTCCTTCATGTAGGCTTTGTCGAGGGACGACGCGCTGCTAAACCTGTCGGCTCGTTTCAGACTAGGCGAGGACGTTCCATCGGCTCCCACGTGCATCTGGATCAAAGTCAGGTAATTTTGTCCTTTAGATTAATTGTTTCTCGTCAAATTAATTTACCGTGTATTTCTCCTGTTGCGAGAGTTTCAAACTAAGAAAACTTTCATGCCCACAGACTTATCGCACCGGTTGCGCATCAATTAAATGTGTGCAAAGTTCACTCTGTCCTATACATATATAGTTACGTACGTGAAATCGTCACTTTGCGTACGGGCATTCGCTCCGAGCGGACGCAGAGATCGCGCCCTCTCTAGCCAAAATCGAGCAAAAATTCTTGGATGTAAACAAACGGCTTAGAGCATATGGTACGTGCGTATATAGCTGCTTGTGATTGGCTAAAGAAAACAGCAGAATGGATCGTTTTCTCACCAGCCTATACCTATACCAAGTGCATGCTCTAAGCCGTTTATTTACATGCAAGAGTTTTTGCCTGGTTTTGGCTAGAGTGCTACGCACTCGTGTGCTCAACTGGTACTCGTTTCCGTCGACTCCGGCACTCGTGTGAGTCAATCACTACTCGTGCGGGAAATCGTCTTTTCCGCACTTGTTACGTAAATAACTATTTCCACAAGTTCAATTTTTTGATAAGCAAGAAGCTCAACTTTTTTTTTACCCATCCGGCTTTGGACATCATAATACTGCAGACAAAAAAAAAAAAAAAAATCTAGAGGTAAGAAACGTACAGGCTTAGAAAGCGCGGCAGCGTCCTTGCTCCTCCTGCAGAGGTTTTGATAGATCCTCTGTATCTGTTCGGGATCAACGCACTCGTCGGCGAGGGTGGTAAGTACGTCGGTTTCCGTGACAAGTAGCTCGGGATTGGGATCCACCAGTACGACGTTTCTGGTACAGCCAGCCGGTGACGAGGTCCCACTGCCGCTAGTCTCGTTTCTGTGCTGCTGTTGGCCACCGTACGTCTCGAGTCTCTCGATGACCTTGTTCTCGTTGAGGACCTTTGGGGGCGTCGGTGGCTTCGGGACCCGCAGCTTTGAGAATCTCTCCGCGTAAACCAGATCGGCCTCTAATTCGTCCTCCTCCTCGTCCTCCGTGTCGTCGGACATGCCCAGCGAGATTTTCAATTGGTAAATTTCATAGAGCATCTTTCGCTGGAAATTCGAGGGGTGTTTGTGAGCGTACTTATACATACCTACTAAAATTTTATCAGCTTTACTCAATGGGGAAGAATACAAGAACAAATTTTTATTTCCACCAGGTTGGTCGGGTCAAATAATCAGGGGATGCTTTCTGCTGAAGGTACAACAGAATTGTTGTACATCATAAAAAATTGTTGCTTTTTAGTTAGAGACACGGGAAAACAAAAAGGGATAAATTAGAGCTTTACGGGGTCTTGTCTCGCTAGAAAATTTCAAGTTTCGATGACGCCTGCAAGCAAAATGGGGATTTTTTTATTTTTTCTGTTGCATAGAATCCCAAAGTTATCAACGTTCACAATGTTTTTGTACATTTGAGTGAATCAAAAAAAAAAATTGTATCCAAGACTTGAATGGTTGCAGGATCGAAATCCGCTAAATTTATCATTTCCACGGAAAATGCTTTAAGAAATGCACGCAATTAAATTTTAAAGTTTCAAATCAAGTGTTTTGTATTTAATAAATATTCAGTTTATTGCAATCACTCCAATTTTTCCCTAACCATTGGCCGATGCTATAGGCTCGCAAACTCGTTAAAGTCAGTATCCCCAAAATAAAAACTCGAGTAGCCGGGAATGCCGGCGAATGTCATATATCTTCGTAAAATTCTTTTTCAGTTCAAAAATCATTACTTGTTTTGGTGACTAACAACTGAAGGAAAATCAAAAATCCCATTTCAGTATTTGTCCTAGTTCAGCTTTTGAAACATTCCGTCTTTCATCGAATGACCCATATATACTCTTGCAACGTCACTTTGTTAATCTTCACCACGTTGTACGTTATCAAGTTCTTCGACTAACTCATATAATTATTACCCAAATAGGCTCAAATTTCGTTGGTAGTTATGGGTTTGATGGTTTATATTTGCTTAAGAGTCGTTTTTTGAAAAACTAAAATTGTGATCCATAGAAGTAAAGTATAGTATTTGCGATGGTTAATCTCTGTTCCATCTCAAATTTTTCGGCTAGAGAAAAAAAAGTGCGGATGCATCACCTACTTTTGTTGTTATTTCGTATAGTCGTGGGGCTGGTGTTGAATAGTGTATTTATCCCTCAGCAGAATACAATGGCTTCGTAGAGCCGAACTCGATACAGTTAGAAATTTTCGTAATTTTACAACGCTGGGCGTTGGAAGAAATCGAACATCCCGATGTACTGTAGCAAACGCTAAATGTCGGATTGTTGTAGTAAGTTTACGAATCACTTACGCGTTACGTTATCCCAAAGAAAGCCTACATGTACACACTGCATATTATATACCTTGTTGAGACTTTGCGAGTTGTTGTCGAGGTGTTTCTGGAAAACCTCGTTGAGCTCCCGGTCGGTGTATAGGCCTTTGCGGACGATTTCTTGCGTGAGGTCGTAGATGAACTTGGCGTAGCGCACCTCGTCGCTCTTGCGCTCGGCCAAGTCCCGAAAAGTGTCCGCCGCGTCCTCGAAGCTGGATGACCTACGCAGTGGGCCCGGGCAGCGCTGCCGACTGGGTGAACGGCCAACGGCGTCCCCGTTTCTCGTGCAGCTGTTGGACTTCCTAGAGAGATGGGGTTTGATCAAATGATTTTTTTTTGTCTCGGGGCTCCTTTGGTAGGTGGTGATTTGTCGCTTTGGAAAAGTGCAGCGAAAGAGTCACGTGAGTCTGGTATATGTTCGAGGAAACCGTTAGAGTGAAACTTCACGGGAGTTCCGGCGGTATCGTTCCACGGAATGGCATTTTTTGTTGGGAATCCCCTGCCATATACCGTGATCACGACAAATTTAATATACGAGTCAAATACTACTGTATCTCTTTTTCGATGATCAATTTAAAGTTTAAAGAAACATTCATGCGTACCAACAGTGTAAACTGATGTTACTTCATCATCTAGAGAGTTTTTGCTTGTTGCTACAGATTTTTCACTACTCTGGTCAAAACTTTTATTTGTACCAACTGTCGTAAGTTTAGCGATAAAACGCTCTGTTTGGCACAGTAAAATGTGACAAGGTAACTAAATTTTATTAGTTTACAGTAATAGCATAACGATTTTCATAACTATTTTTTCAGTTAATGTCCAAGTAAATACATTTTACTCAAAATGCGTTCATTATATGTTAAAACCATTAACGTTAGTACTCTCGATACTTCATTAGTCAAGTACGTATATCTTCGCTCTAAAATGAGCGTCAAGTTACACTAAAATTACCGATACTTGAATAGTTACTAATGAAAAATTATGAAAAAATGTATGACTAACACTCATTTAATTTATTTATTGCTTACAGCCTGTACATGAAGGGTAAAAAAACTCTTTTATTTACCCAGAACACATTAAAATATCCCAAGAGAATTTTTTTACTAAAAATGATACAAGAATGACAAAAAAAACAAAAATTTTTGATAAAAATATTGAAAATAATTACATTGCACTAAATTGACTCGATTTACCTGGAAAGAGAGTAAGTTACTCAACAATACCGCGGATGACAAGCTGCAGATTGTTATAAATGCTTCTTTTTTTTTTTTTAATCTGAAAGTGCACATCTTAAGCTGAAATTGGAGAGCAGGTGAAAATAATGCAGTAACAGCTGAGTAATACGTATAGTTGAAAATCGCGAAAAAAAAATTTTTTTTTTTTTTTCAGTTTTCTTAATAAAAATGTATGTATCAATCGATAGCACTATACGTATAGCTTAGGGTGTAGTTGTAGATAACAAATCCCGCGCCACATACCCTGAAAAAACCTTTAAAAAATCACTCACCTGTACCGGAAACACTGCTGTGGCGAGTACTCGGTGCAAGATCGATCGAGGCGACTCCGGGGCCTGCTAAGGCGACCCTTGACCCCTGCGCCCCCGCAACAGTCGAACCCTAGCTTTGCCGAGCCGCATGGGCACACCTGCTGACAACACCGCTCACACTCGCTACCCCCGCGCTCCTTGGAAGTACTTTTGCTGCGGCAAACTGCTCGGATTACTTCCTAGAAAAGTTTTCACACGTCCACAATATGTTGCCCATGAATATTATATACACACACCCAAGGGCGCGACGGAGTTCCGATCGAAGCCGATGTCCTGTATAATTTTACTCTCTTTGATTTCTCGAACTTATAATTCCCGGTTGCTAAGCGACAAATGATAGTCATCCGACATTTTGACTTGGGTATTCACCTGATGAGTAAACTGGTGACAATCAGCTGAATGTCAGGTGAGCTTTGCTTGCACCTTACTGAACAGAGTTTACCCGATATTCAGTTGATTTTCACTTGATAATCAGCTGATAATCATCAATTACATATATACACCTGGTGATAATCAGCTGAAAATCAGGTTTTGATCATGAGATTATCGGGTGAATATCATGTGCAAAATTTTAGCTGATTATCATTTGACGCTGAGCAGCCGGGTTCCAATCTACTCTTAGTTTCGCAAAAGTTTCCTGAACTGGAACATGGTAATCATAAAGTGCACCGATTCAGCTGAAGTGTATAATTAGCAAACAATTAGCAACAGATGCGCAATGATTACCGCCCACACGAATCGTCTATACGATATTATTGGCCATACTCGGTGAACTTCTCGTGCGGATTGTCATGAACACTGGTATATGCCCAGACAACCCGAGTTGGCCATCAAAAATTATTCGGAGGATTTGAAGAGAAAGCGAATACTGTGTGTTTTCCACTCGTCGAAAAGCAAAGGCACCACACACGTTTTTGAACGTTTACCTACTAAGGCGAATGTCCCGATAATCGATCATTTTTCTTAATATACATTTTTTGAAAAACGAATGAAATGTTGTCGGTGGCAACCAAAAATCATGATTGTTGTTCATTGAAAGTACAATATATCGATGCTGGCCTGCATGAAAAGAAATATAAAGCTACCGATAATTGGGACATATCGTTCGCTTGAGTGAGCGACAGTTGGGCCGTTTCAGGTTGTAGGGAGAAAAAAGGCACACTGGTAAATATGATGATAGTTACGGAAGGATGGTGGTGGGTGTCGTAAGCCAGCCTGTCGATGGTGTCTTCGGAGGGGCATTGGCAGCAACAGTCTTCGGAGAACCTCAATCTCGCGGCGCACGAGCCACCGGCGCGTTTCTGCAGAACCCGCGTGAACCTCGGATTGCGCGCGTCAACCACGCATTTCGCCTTTATCACGCGCCGGAAGTGCATGCACATGCGCCGGTGCAACGACACCTGGTTCGTGTAGCTCTGGCCTGTCTGGTTGTAAACTGAAATGCACATCCCCCCCCCCCCATTAGAATGACGCGATTCTTTTTCAGCATGCCTATATTATATTATTTGATTGGATTCGACAAGAGTTAACGGATCTCGATTTAGTTTAATGCTCGTTGCAAAGGTGCACGAAGTATAGACATTACAGTAACTTATTTACGTAAATGCCGAGCAACTTTTACTCACTACATTGCTCAGCGTTTTTGAATAACAATCTATCTTTGAGTGCAGTAACGACGATTACCCAATTCCACGTATGGACAATTACACACGGGGTTATAATATATGTCGTTTATCGAGACACATTATATGTACCTTGAAACACTACATATATTGCACAATTAACCGGAAACGAGTATATACTTGAAGTAATGTATTCCCAAACCAAGAGTCAACATCACCGTTGCGGTGAAATTTTCAAGTGCAGGTGTGTAGCGTCCCTAACCGCGCTCACCTGAACTCTTCAGGCTAATGGCGTCCCTGGAGCACCGCGTCATCCTTCCTTTGGACTCACCCCGCGGGTGCCGAGCTTCGAAGAGACTCGCAGCGGATGTCGCAACATCGGAGGTTTCAGCTGGAGCTTTCTGAACGAAGCTTCGTCTCCGGGAGCTGCGGTGCTTGTGCACCTGTGAAATTGACCCAATGGGGGAGGTTGCAGTGGGTACGGTGTTTGTGTACGGGGGCGTTGCCCCGGGCGACCCCGGCGTACACGTGGCTGTACAGTTGGTTTACTTTTATTACGAGGGTGATGGTGTAAGTATAATTATTGTAGTGGGATTCAGCAGGTAAAATTATGGAGGTTGAATGAAGTAATAAGAACACCAAGTTTGGTCAACGGTTGGTTTTGATTGTCTTTGAATCATTCGATCGATAGTAGAGAGTGGGGGGAAACTGGTCGATTGTTCACATAGTACCTGGTCAACGTTTGTTTTATTAAGTTATATATACTTCTGTAGGTGCGTTAAGCGCGGGAGTGAATCAACGATTTTTTTTATTTCCATCTCGAAAAATATGATGGAAGAGAATTTTTGCCTATACTTACGGTTTGGAGACTGGAAAAAAATGGTACAGGTCAATTTTTAACCACTTCTTATACTTAAAAAAAAAAAAAAAAAAAAAAAAAAAACCCTAAATGTATAAAACAAAGAAATAGTGAATACCTATACTGAGGAGTTGAAGTATTTTTGAACAACTTTTCGAAAATAGAAGAAGAAAAAAATTTTAATTTGCAGTTTTGAAAAAATTGTTTACCAACAGCATACCGACAATAAATTAGATTTGAACGCAACTTTTCTTCTTGAAAATGTAAGACAGCCCAGTCTTCAGGGGAATTTTGGGCATTACACACATGCAGACCTCATCTTCAGAAAATTCTGCAAGAAACTTGGCTAAGGGCTGCATCGGGATTCGCGATCAATGCTCAAGACCCCTTTATAAAAAATGGCCCTCTTTGGTCCAATTCCTCTGGCCCATTTGTTTTGTGCTATCCCCGCCAAAGAGCACGTACATACCTTGCAGTTATGGCAGGAAATGCTGTTTTTTTTTTTATCTAAGTACGTATTTTGTAGAAAATTAGCCATTCTTTCTGATTTTTCTACCTACTAAAGTTATGCTGAAAAGTACTTGTACATATGGGAAAAAAAATTGATTTCCAAAAATCAANAATATGTGAGATCAAATGTTACAAAGACTCATACAAGGGTGTTAACTCAATAGCTTTAACTGAAACCCAAAGAAATAATTTACAAAAAATGATAAATTCGTTTAACCCAGGCCAAAGTTCGTTGAGTTAGCACATACAAGCAAGCATTTCTCATATTTTATAATTTTTATGTTTCATGTTTTGTTAATTTTTTTTTTTGATAAATTATATTTCCATGACTTTTAAAACAAATACATACATACGTATCGACGCCTCGTACGAAGTCTAGAATTATTCACATTTTCTCATTTAAATTAACATTTGAAAATCTGAATAAGGATAGACTTTGTACGAGGCGTCGATATAGACTAAGATTGCTGAATTTATCAATGGGAAAGAAAATTAAGGATCTAAGTAGGAATGGTGATCGATGGTAGACTGATGAAAGAGAACGCAATTAAAAACTCCTCGAGATGCGTATTACAAAATTTAATTTTTTAATATCATAAACATTCTTTTTTTACATCTACATAAATATAGTATTTGTGTGTATATTAAAAATGCTCAATTTCATGATGAGTAACGTTTTATAACGTAAATGCACTGGCAGTTTCCTAAACTCACTGTTTTTATCATCCAAGGCTTTAATACGTCCCTCAGCGCCAATAAAAATCCTCGTGACAATGTATCAAATTTATATCATGTACTTTAACCATATTATATAAACTCCCTTTGACCTCATCGAGCATTCGTGCGTTTCTTCGCGACAACCAGCTCGTTTCGAGGTCACAATATTCAATACTTGGCTTGCATGACGACGAAATCCTTGCTCTCGAGACTGAAAAGTCACGCCCCGAGGCTCTTTTTGAGGTTCTCGGCCACTTTGTCGATGAACTCGAACGTATTCAAGTAGTCGGTCCTCTTGATGTCCTCGAGCTTCTTCATGCAGAGGACGAGGTCCTTGGTCATGAAGCCGGACTCGACTGTACCGATGCAAGCTTTCTCAAGGCCGTCGGCAAACTTCCTGAGAGGCTCGTTCCCGTCGAGCTTGGCCCTGTGCAGCAGACCCTGGGTCCAAGCGAAGATCGAGGCGATCGAGTTGGTCGAGGTCTCCTTGCCCTGCTGGTGCATACGGTAGTGGCGCGTGACGGTGCCGTGAGCAGCCTCGGCCTCGACCGTCTTACCGTCTGGGCAGATGAGCACCGAGGTCATCATGCCCAGAGAGCCGTACCCCTGAGCCACCGAGTCCGACTGCACGTCACCGTCGTAGTTCTTGCAGGCCCAGACGTAGCCCCCATTGGACTTCATGCAGTAGGCGACCATGTCGTCGATCAACCGGTGCTCGTACCACTGGCCTATCGCCTCGAATTTGCTCTTGTACTCGGTTTCGTAGATCTCCTCGAAGATGTTCTTGAAGCGGCCGTCGTACTTCTTGAGTATCGTGTTCTTGGTGGAGAGGTAGAGCGGATACTTCCTGGCGAGGGCGTACTTGAAGGAGCTGTGGGCAAAGTCGCGGATGCTCTCGTCGGTGTTGTACTGGGCCTGGGCGATACCCGGGCCCTTAAACTCGTTCACCACGTGCGAGATTTTCTCGCCGTTGGTCCCGGTCCAGCTTATCTCGAGCTTACCGGGCCCGGGCACCAGGAAGTCCGTGGCCTTGTACTGGTCGGCGTGGGCGTGCCTACCGATGATGATGGGCTTCTCCCAGCCGGGAACCATGCGGGGGACGTTCTTGCATATGATGGCCTCGCGGAACACGGTGCCACCGAGGATGTTGCGGATGGTGCCGTTCGGGCTCTTCCACATTTTTTTCAGCTTGAACTCCTTGACGCGGTTCTCGTCCGGAGTTATTGTCGCGCACTTGATGCCGACGTTGTACTTTTTTATGGCCTCGGCGCACTCGATCGTCACCTTGTCCTCCGTGGCGTCTCTGTTTTCTATCCCGAGGTCGTACGTGTGCAATTCAACGTCCAGGAACGGAAAAATTAGTTTCTTCTTGATGTCGTCCCATATTATTCGGGTCATCTCGTCGCCGAGGATGTCGACGACCGGTCCTGCCTGTAAATATATTACGCGTGTATCTATTAATATATTTCCTATTAATGATGATGATGATGATGAAAAGTTACTTTAATTCTATGGTGAATGTTACATCACATCGAGGGTCTTTTTTATATCTAGGGATTACTTAGAATTATGACCCATGTTGATTTTACCATCACCAGTATGGCAACACAAAAGCAAACGGATTCAGACGTTTTACCTTAGACTGAAAAATTGTTAAAATAATTTTTATAGAAAACCTAAATGTTGGTACATTGATGCAAAGTATACTTGAACCCGTCTGTATTCGTGTTATCATGCAGATGATTACTCAATATGGTCATTTTTTATTAATAAACATTGAATAGGAGACATTTTCAGGTGGATAAGCCAATGATCCATGCAGAATCTATTTGGATTTTATACAGAATCCTTACAGAATCTACGTGGAAATCCATAAAGAATCCGTCAGGAATCGGTATCGATTACATAGTGATTATATGTAATTATAATATGAATATTATACTCAGTCAAAAATTTATAGCTATTAATATGCTGTACTGAGGGTATCATCCGTATGATAACAGTAAAACTGTGGGCCTGAAGTATCTTTGAATAAGTAGAAAAAAAACAAGAAATCATATACAATTTCAAGTTTTTAAAAAATTGTTTAAAAATAATTTAGGCCCTCAGTTTAACTGTTATCACACGGATGATACCGTCTATTCTGATCGATATATGTTGAAAAAATCTGATTTTAAACTAATTTTTATTCAAAATTTGTGAAAAGATTACAGCTGTAATTTATAGCTATATTTATAGCTGTTTTATAGGTAGTTATAGCTATAATTATAGCTATAATTTATAGGTATAATTATAGCTATAAATTTTTAACTGAGTATAGATATAGACAGTAGGGCAAAGTATAATATAATATAGTCTATGACTATAAGAGGAACGGTAATATCGAACAAGTAAATATAATGAATTCAGTGAACTTTAAATAAGAAAAAAAAAATTACGAAGCGTCACGAAATATTATCTTTTGCCTTTTTGAAGTAATGTTGAAATATTGAGTCATGAAAAAAATACTTTACAATTAAAAATACGTGCGGTAAAAGGCAAACGTGATAAGTAAGACTTGATTTATCTATAGTGGTGGTTTTGTCGGAAATGGCAAGAACCACAAACTTGTGCGTTACCTTCGAAATTCGTAGCTTCGGTTACAGTAAATGCATATTAAAATTTCGTAAGCAAACTAAGCCCTGGAGAATGCAAACGGTTCTAAAATAAAAAAAAGTTTTAAAAAATTGTATCAGAATTTATTAATACTCGTTGGTAAAAAATGCTTAATTTCGGGAGATCAAATACGATGCGACAAATCCATAGGAAAAGAACAATTAAGACAAAAATTTCGTATCAGCTGTTCAAATCATAGCGATTTCTACGAACTGTGACCGCGGCTATTATTTCCATTGGGAATTAATTAATGTGCCTGTACCATGTGACCACTGCGGTGTATAAGTATATATGACTACTGAAGGAAAACTATTACAAGCGGCGTGGGAGAAATTAAGTTTTTTTTTTCTTCGTGGTGGAAGATGTGTTAAACACAAAAAGTTACTGGATTACATATTTAACATTACGAAAGTTGGTTTCCTACTCTTTTTTAAGGCCTAAAACAGCACTTTAAAGAGATGTGGAATACACTTAACCCTACATCGAGCTGTTTGTTTACCTCTGAGCAGAAACTCTAAAACGTACGCGTTACGTTGATCAGTGTTTACTTATTATTGATTGCATAATCTGTTTTAAAAAAGTTCATGTTTTGTAACATCATCTCCAATACAAGTTGTACAGCACGTATGACCATATACAATGAAGCTGATGTTGGCTGAAATTTGTAAATATGGAGAATGTACGATTGCCAGCAAAAATTTCGTCGAGGGAGAAAAGCTGTTGAATGCTGACTATTTACTCAAATGTGGTACATTAACAACACATAATGATAATGGTTATGACATAGTAGCATATTGTCGACAAGTCGCATCGGCAAATGAAAAACCTCATGAAATTAGGGGAAATATTAACATTGATGGTTCTGTTACATCTTTTACATGTTCTTGTGAGGCTGGTTCAAGTGGAAAATGCATACATGTTTTAGCCGTTTTGCTATTTTGTAGTCGGTAATGATAATTACTGTCATTGTTCATTAAACGTTGTTTGTAATGCAGTTTTCTCACTGCATGTTATTTTATTCTTTATTGTAGAAACGATGTTGATAAATTGGCTGATTTTTCAAGCACAGACACCAAATGCGCTTGGGCAAACTCTGGGACACCCAATCCAAGTGAACTCAACTCCAAAATAACTCTGGAACCAGTCACGGCTACTCCAATATGTGAGATCAAATGTTACAAAGACTCATACAAGGGTGTTAACTCAATAGCTTTAACTGAAACCCAAAGAAATAATTTACAAAAAATGATAAATTCGTTTAACCCAGGCCAAAGTTCGTTGAGTTAGCACATACAAGCAAGCATTTCTCATATTTTATAATTTTTATGTTTCATGTTTTGTTAATTTTTTTTTTTGATAAATTATATTTCCATGACTTTTAAAACAAATACATACATACGTATCGACGCCTCGTACGAAGTCTAGAATTATTCACATTTTCTCATTTAAATTAACATTTGAAAATCTGAATAAGGATAGACTTTGTACGAGGCGTCGATATAGACTAAGATTGCTATGAAAGGTAAATATAAATCTGGTGATTTTTTAAATAAATCATAATTTACACTCTTATCATTTATTTACTTTTCAATAACAATTCCATTAATAATAATTCCTAATGATTTCCTATTAGAGCTGCAATCTCAAAAAATGAAATAAACATTAGTAGCGAGGAATTAAAAATAATCTGATTGATTGTATGTCAAGAATAGTCAAGTGTTATAAAACTTCTTTCCAAAACATCTATTGATAATATGAGTGCATGTTGGGCTGGTAAAACCAAAACCAAGCAGTACTAGTACAGTAGTACATCAAAACTGTCGAACTTATAATGGGCAAACTCAAATTTTTTACAGTTAAAATGACGAAGTTAGTTTCAAACAAAGACATCCATACTATTGTCCAGTGCGAATGGGTATGGCAGTATTGAACGTTACTTCTATGTACTTTATCGTTTATTCGGCGTCTGATGGTTTTTTTTTAATAATTAATATTTCCTATGATGAAAAATGCATATCAACTGTTTTGTCTCAAGTAAAACTTGTATATGGTCATATGTTACATTTTACTTGTTTTAACGAGAAAGAAACATGTATAGATAAGCCAGAAGAAAAATAAATTTGTTTTAAATGTTTTATTATGATAAATAAATAATTAATTTTATATAGTGTTTTCATTGTACAAAAAACAATTATTATTACAGTACACACATTCTTACAAAAATGTATCATCTTTTAGAATTGGTGCACCTAAATTAACAATAGCACATACAATGGTGAATATTTGATCTATTCTGCTGACTAAATACAATGGTAACCGTGTGCTTAAGATCTTGAAGGCTTTCAAACGCTGATTAGATATTTCTATGTGGACACGAGCTTTGGAAATTTTGGCATTTAGTATAGCTTCTTCTCTGGAAAATTGTTTTTCGTTGCTCAAGAATGGAGGTCTAATCAATTGAATGCCATGCAGTAAACAAATGTCATCAATTAAAAATCCCTTATCAGTCATGAGACCATCATCGCGGTCAAGTATATTTATCAATTTGCTCTTTTCAAATATAGCTTTTTTGGAACTTCTTCCTGGATAGGCTTCACTTACAAAAGTTATAATACCACTAGGTGAAACTGCTGTCACGAATTTGACAGTGTGCATTGATTTGTATGTAGAATAGGCTTCTGCCTGACAGCATGTTTTCTTAGGTTTTTGAATACTAATTTCTATCCCGTCTATTACAGCCCTTACACTTTCAAAGCCTTTAAAACAATTAGGCAAGTTTCTTATAACTTCATCTTTGCTGGGCCAACGGATAGCAAACTGTAATCCAACAGCTAAAACATCGATCATCTTTAAAAATATTCTTTTGCAAGTTGCTTCACAATATACTTTAAATAAAATACTCATCGCAGTATACGATACATTTTGCTTTAATTTAATAAATGTCAACACTATTCTGTCTTTGATGGATAGTTCTGCTGAATTTTGGAGTAAACTGGTCTCTATGTTGGGAAGTACTTCTTTAACGACACTTTCTAAAAAATCTAAATGATGGAAGGTACTTAATCCTGTCATTGCATTTAAATCTTTTTCACTTTTTATAAAATCACTATGAATTTCAAATTGCACTTGAACACATTGGTCTTTAAAAGTTTTTGGTTCACTGATAGATATATCCACTTGCACTGGATCTAAAGTTTCATCATTCTCCCCTTGCACTGGATTTAAAGTTTCATCATTCTCCCCTTGCACTGTTGTTTCATCGATATCACAGGTAATGTTATTACAGTCAATAGCATTATTAATACTGCTACGTACTGTTTTACATTTTTTCTTTATTTCTTCAATATAAAGTTTTCTTTTTATGGCTCTGTTTTTTGTTCTTTCATCTCTAACTAGTTCTTTTTCTTTTTTTTTTAGACTACTTGGCGTATCAGTGGGTAAATTTACGGTAGGCACTGCTGTTTTATGTAAACATCTGTTCGCTGGCTGTTCATCTAGAAGTTAGATTATTTTCATGTATGTATCACCATGATTATCAATTTCAAAATTAAAAAAAAATTACTTACAAGTTAAACGATAATCTTTCTCAGTGAAGTGTAACGAACAAACTAAAGGCTGCCGGAAACTCTCACTAATTTTCAGGCGTTTCATCCACACTTTCCTTATATCGATTTTTTCTTTGTTGTTCATTTTATTCGTAATTTCTACTTCCACTTTACCAGCTTTCGGCACGCTGTGAAATCGTACAGTCGGATCTTTTTTGGCATAACTCTTGCATCCCAAAACACAGCAACTTTTGTTACTTTTAGTGTTGCGAGGAGAAAATCTCATGCCTCTTTCGTCCATATTATTTTATACTGTGCTGCTGCTCAGAGTCTTCAGAGGCTCAGAGCCCTCAGAGGTAATAAACAAACAGCTCGATGTGGGGTTAAGTGTATTCCGTATGTTTAAAGTTATGTTTTCGGCCTTAATAAACGATTGTTTGTCTCATGAAAAAAGAGTAGCAAACCAACTTTCGTAATGTTAAAAATATGTATTCCAATAACTTTTTGCGTTTCACACCGAGCACATCTTCCACCACGAAGAAAAAAAAACTTAATTTCTCCCACGCCGCTTGTAATAGTATTTTTCCTCTAGTAGTCATATATATATATAACAATATAGGTATAGTAATAGTAGTATAACGACGATAGTGCAAGTGATTTTTTTTTAATTACCGTGGCTTATTTGTATTTTTATTAGGAACTATGTTTCTATAAACTTAACATATAAATATAGGTGTTTGCTTTTATACTACACCAACTTTTTATTTTTCAAATAGATATCACGTTTTCAGATATTGCAAATTACACGTGGCAATTCCTTGTATTCATTCTCATTCAAGTTTGTTCGAGGTCAGAATTTCTCGCTAACTGATTTTTTTACACTATACAAACGATTCCATAAAAAAAAAATTATGTGTTACTAAGCTATTTATTAAATTATCATTTATATTTCTAAGTAAATTTAACATCATAACATTTCCCAATGTCTTTTAACAGAGATATTACTCATTTCCAAGTCCAAACAATAAGAATCTAATTCAAATCAGCTGTCATATAATTATGATTATACATTTACCGAATAAACAATAAAATAAATAAATAAAAAACAAAAAAAGGAATCAATTGGAACAGCCACCGAAAAAGAGACTCGTACATTTTATAAATTGAAAATCATCTTGCTCAGTAAAAAATTCACGGTTAATATATTTCAATGAATAAATACCTATAATCATAGGTAATGACAGCTATAAACACCTACAACCATAGGTAATTTCAGAATGAATCGCATGAATTTTTAAGTGAGTAATCAGAGAAACAATTAAATAATTTTTAGGAATCAGCCTGAATTTCTCAATAATTTTTTATCGAGTCACTTTTCAATCGACAAAGTAATAAGTCAGAAATTTCAATGTAAGCTCTTTTATGAGGTGAATTTTATTTATTTTTACTTATCTTTAAGAAATAAAATTACATAAAATGGTGAACCACAGCGGTTGAAAAGTAATGCGAAAAAGCTCGTACGATTTGGAACAGATTAGTATCACGAAAAACATAAACCGACAACGGTCATCGACCGTTATTAAAAGATATGAATCAAAACGTGAGCAAGTAACAATGATTTAGGTATCGGCCAATGATAAGTGCATGAATAAAAAAAAGAGCATTATCTGCTGTTAAGTATGCCACCCCAGCACAACGCAATTTTATGAGATTGATTAAAAAATTATTTCACGTCTTGATATCTCCGTACGAAATTTTGCTTGCACATTCGCAAGTTATTAAGAAATGATGATGTATTCAAAACATAAAAAGCTGCCAACAGTTTCAAAAGTTTCCAAGTTGGGGATAATAACGGTTTTTAAATAAATAGTAAGTTACGACGAGGCCTTTAACCAAACGTATGAAAAACAAGATAGTCTTTTTAATTTTTTCGATAGTGTTTTAATAATAAATTTTGATGATTAAATCAATTCTATGATCAATTGATTATATTATGTAGTGCGATATGACCCTCCTTAGAATAAAAGAACACTACATTCTTATAAATACTGTAGTTATGTTAGACGCGCTATACGTCCGATCTAAATTAATGTGATTACTTTTGCGATTAGTTAAACATATTTTTATTAAAAAAAAGAAATTATTCTTAAAATTTCGATTGTTTTTCTTTCGGGATTCAGGGGACCCAAAAGTATTTAGATAATTGTGTTCATCGAGTTTTACATGGGCATTATTTGACCAACGTAGTCTTAAAGCAGTTATCGGTAAAAAATTAATTTATAGTAACGTGTGATAAAATGATACGCTTTGTCGCTATTCGACGTGGGAGATCAAAAACACGCAATCACCAATTTTTCAAGAGAATCGTGTCATTGTCTATAAATCATTGTGGCGAATTGCACAAGATGAAAGAGTTTTCCGAAATCATAAAAACCGTTGCAATGTATTTAACGACCGATACACACAAAATGTGTCACGTATTCCATGTATGTATGTGTATTTAGGATCTCTATGTATTAACGCCACTTCTTTCGGAATCTTATTGACAACGAGTGATTTTTCGTAGAATCACCCGCGTGCGTGCACATCGACCCACATCATTATCACACGAGCCGGTGGGTTTTTTGCAAATCACGCTCCGATGAAAATTTCTTCAATCAGGCCATTCATAAACATATTTCGAAGCAGACGTGCCTCCGGTTAACGCTCGCGTATAACTTACAGTTCGTATAGTGAACCCAATATGCTAAGGTTTATAAAGTGCTCGATAAAACGACAAAAAAAAAAATGGAAAAATAACATTGACGGATGCAATGTACTCGTATGGGGAACACACCCAAGCGGCTTTTTTATCCATGGCGTGACGTCATGCCCAGCGGTCAAGGAAAAAAAAAAAAAGAAAAAAGCATCCGCGCTCCTTTCGAAGTCAACGAACTCCGAAACGGTGTTTAAAGCCACAAGTGCCAGACTGGGGTCTTTTGGGTGCTTTTCAAGAGATTCGGAGTGAGAGGCTCTTTTTTTTTTTGCATTATTGGAAGAGTCGCTCTGTGCTGTGCAGTTTCATATGCCTAACTGATCGCGTGACCAATGCAAGCTTACATGAAATCATTTAACTGTTTGTTGGCTAATAAAATAAAAATACTAGCGACTTGAACTTTTCCCCAGAAAAAAAATACATGAGCAAGATGGTGTCTTATTTTCCAAGGGGATGGGTAAATGCTCCGGTTAATGGATATCTGTATTTACCACGGTGACAGATGGCAGACTAAAGTATATATATATAGGTATACAAAAAATCAGAGATGACATTTAAAAAGCTCTCACCTTTATTTTGGCCATGGTAGCAGAAGACGCGCTGAAATGCCTGATGGTGACCAAATGTTGCGATGCCGGTGCAGCAAGCGACTGCTGTTGATTGTTGTACTTGCGAAACGTTGACGACGACCTCGACAAGGAGGAAGAGGAGGAGGAGGAGGTGGAAAAACAGGTGGAGGCGAGTAGGAGCGTTCGAGTAGAGTGGAGCCGCACCGCAGTTGTGCCACGAAGCGCCAGGAGCGGCTGGAGAGGGATAGCCATCGTCGTCGACGGGTGGTGATGATGGGAGAGAGAAAACGCTTCGATATTACTATACAATATATACCTATCTGTGGTGTTTTTTTTTTGTTTTTTTTTTTTTTTTATGCGACCAAAACGCGAACGAAGCGCATGAGCGACACACTTTAACAGAGCTTTCTAACCTTATCCTCTTGTTTACTCTTTTAATTTCTTTAACAATGTTTCGAAGGGACCGTCAGAGCAGCGATAGCTTTTTTTTACTTGTCAGTTGTGTGACAGTATACACACTGTAGCACTTCTAACTAGTATCTTTTTGCTTATTTTGGAGGTAAGTATTGTGTTGATATATCTGAAATCCCAATAACGGTGATATGGTGATAACGACTTTATATTGGGTCTTGAAAAACAGTTGAACCGTTACCGTCGCAACCGCAAACACTGTCTGCAGCTCTTATCAGATCAATCTCGGACGTGGCGGTTTGTGGGCTTGAAACACACTGCACTCGCGATAACACTTTCTCACTCTGGTCTTTCTATTCTTTAATGCTAATCTACAAATTTATATACTCCTTGTACTACATTCTTTGAATCGACGATCAAGCAATGTGATGTTATTTTCTCGTGTCTCTTCTTCACTGTAGAGTCGATGAACAGCCTTTCGTCTTGTTACAGTGCTGACCGTAGCTAACGTACCTAAGTTGTTGGAGCTCGTTCGATTTATCTTTGCGAAAATAACTCGTGACAGTTGTACTATTTACTAGCACCCTGCAAGTAGCGGAATCACTCTGTGGTCGGTCGACAGACCTTGATGGATTTTTGTTATTGACCGAGAGCGTATAGATTCGCAGATAACTCTTCTCTCTCTCTGAAGCGTTTGGCAATAATGCATGCTTTGATCAACAAGTTCGCAATGCTTTTGATGTTAGAACGTTTTTCAACGTTGTGTTTTCGAAATCGCATCATTTATATGATTTTTAAAGCAGCTTTTTTTTTCTTGTGGATGGAAGCTTCATGCAAAAAAATTATAAAATCAGAAGAAATTAATGAAGGGTCACTTTGTTACATACTTAGATAACCGCGATTTTTTTATCGTGTTTCGAAAACAAAAAAAAACAATAAAAGTAAATCATTCGACTTTTAATTTTTGTCTCAAGGAAATACTGATACACAAAATTAAACATTTACAAAAGTGTTAAAAACGAATCAAATGCCAAAAAACTTTTTTCCCCCTTTTTTGGACAATTAGAATATTTAAACATTTTTAAGATTACATAAAAATTTATCAAATTCTAAGAATGAGGTACAAAATTTTCTTTTCTACAAAATAAGTATTGAATCAAAATGCCCTCACGCATAGTTATTTTAACTCTGTATACCGTGTACAGATAACCGTACGATTGATGAAGTTATAGGTATATGAATCATAACCGATACTTGATAGAAGAGAAAAAGAGGATGGTGAAAAAATATGTATGTATGTATATATATATATATATTCGTCAAGCTTCGAATAATTTAAATTCATTAATATATATATAACAATATAGGTATAGTAATAGTANGTCCACAAAATACTCTATCTTTCGCTATTATAGTTTTTAATTTTATTGTTTTTTTATTTTGTCATAACCTTCATTTTTAGGACAAGATCCTTTGTTGGTCAAATATTTATCGACAAAGTTTTTCACCACGAATTTCTTATTTCTATCTTCATCATCTTTTGTTGAGATTTTTTGATACTTAACATTAGTTGTAAAATTACTCGTACACGGTTTAGTCTTTATCTTTCGATTTTTCCTCAAATTTTGTTTTTTCAATCTTTATGTCTTTCTTTTCGTTTCTCCTCATAAATGTTTTCCATTCTTCTTGTCGTTATTTGTTTTCTGCTTCTTCTTAACTCCAGCTGTTGCTTCGAACTTTATCCATGGAGGTGGATATAAACTGATGCTAGCAAAGCCCTGAATTGACTTTATACATCTCTATTCGTGTTTCTTGACATCCCCGCTCATCGGACTATATTGAACTATACGGTCGTGCAAAATTAAACAATAAGCTGATTTATTGGCAGGAAAATTTGTAAACGGTTTAAACTCTAGCCTCACATCTACTGGAGCATTTTTCAATGACTACTTTTGTTTGGGACAATCGAAACCAATTAAAGGTATTCGACTGAAAAAGTGATGTTTGCCTAGTAAAGGTGCACAATCTTTGCCATAGTATGAATTTTGAAAATTAGTATACATATGACATAGCAGTGCATACTGATTACGCGTTATATCAAGATTTAGATAGGCATAAGGATAATATTGTGAATTTAAATAGAGTTTCACATTTCTTATGTTGCAGTGATCAAACATACTTACATTATTTTAAATTATTAGTGCTTATATGATTTTTACGGTTAATTTGAAAGGCTAAAATAATGTAACGTGGCTTTTCCAACTGATTTGATGTTTTAACTGTCCATATATGTTTGGAAGTGCTAGATAAGAGGGGATACTTGTATAATTCCCAAGTTCGAAAACTCATAGGTATAAACTTGTCTTTTTGCAGATGATTTAATAAACGAATTTTATGAGAATCTGACATTACCACATAGGTCATACGCCACTCAAGCTTTAATATTAATATTTTAAAGTCTTCCCAAATAGCTGTGGCTGCAGGATTAGCAGCATTGGCATTAACTGGAGTTTGCAACACGGCATTTATATCGTTTCTTGCTCTTGTAAGTATAAGTTTATGTTTTACATTGACGACTATCTTGCGATAGTCTTTAGCAAAACCTAAAATTATATTCAGTGGAAGTATGATATCAAAGTAGCCGTAATTAGTAAGACTATCATCTTCTTTTCCATTGCCAAGCCAACCAGAATTTATCATAGATTTTTTTTGATCTGGACAAAGCGATAGCCAATTTTTTATAAGGGTTGTTAATCCAACATTTTTGCTCTTGTCCACCTCAATGGCATTGATCTCATATCTTATTTTTTTAAATAAGAGGCAGATGACGTTGTTTATCAATGTAGTATTTGTTACTGCTGTATTTCCATCTACTTTGACTAATCTGATATAAACATGTAAAGAGCTTCTGGATGGTAAAAGACACAAATCTTGATGTTGAATTGAAATACGAATTTCATCGCTGTTACCATATGTTGACGATGCACACGGCTCATGAGCATAAATCTCATAGTGCGCAATAGATTTATCAAATGCGACTGGAGACTGAATACTTAGAATCTTGTCCAATTTGTATACAACAAAAGTATTCAACTTATTTACCACCGGGATTTCTTTTTTTTAAACCAAGACTCTTTATAAACTGTATGTTTTTGACGAGGTGGCTGTTTCCTTAGATGTCTCGATGCTTTAATGGACTTCTTTTTCTGACGTCTCAACAGTTTAAGAACTTGTTATTGACTGAGTTCTGGAGCGCATATTGAGCTGCCTCTATGATTTGTTTGATTATAAATTATACCCATTATGAAGAGGGTTTTATATTAAATCTTATAGTTATGACTTCGCCACGAAAATTAACTAAATCACCGTCCTGATCTACCATACGGAGTTGTATATGATTAATAATACGTCCAATGATTGGTAAAAGAATTATTTCTGAAGGAACTTCAATAATTTCATATCTAGGTGATACAGCAGGAAAATATTCATGAATGGTGTATACTTATGACTGTATTTGCAAGCTCAAATCGTGATGTTACATTTAACTCTCGATGCGTTTATCTTTAGAATAGCTACAGGTAAATCTGAAATATGAGTGCTGTTATTTTTTAGAACTCGCTGAGTGAAACCTAATAGACGACCTATAGAATTTTTAGGTCTAAAATCAATGGTATGGCTGCACTTGGAACACTGTGGAGCGTATTGTTCGGCCTAATATTAAGAGTTATGTTGCGAGGTTGTAATACCTCAATTAAAAATGACTTAATATATTCGATCTCCATAGGTGGAAAATACTGTACTTCTAAAACAAAAAAAGTACCAGAAAGGCTTAGTGTTAATGTTTCTTCCATTCTTGTCAAAAAATAACTAAGAGGTTCCTCTCGATGTAAGAAAGTTATATTTGTTTTGAAAGAAATTTTAAAAAACAAATGAAGGCAGTTGGAAGAGTTAAATTTTTTATAACGTTTGTGAGTATATTTCATCTTATTAACTTTTAGATATAACATTAAGTCGATAAGTGGCTGAAGATCTCCAAAACTGTCAAAATATACAACATTATTACCACGTTTTCGATAAGCTATCCAGTAAGTTCCCAGTCCATTCTTATAATAAAGATTCACTATAGCTGTTTCAGAAAACCGCGGACCATCAGCAGGTTAGTTGTTTCTCAGGAATACTTCGCTAAAACGAGGGATTCCTAAGATTTTAGAATATTTCATTAAACCTATGTTGGTGAGAGCTCGATCAGGTAATTTTACTGCTTTGGACTTTTTTTCGTTTTTTTTATTTTTATTTTTTAAACTTTTTCTTTATTATATCTATTTACACCAGTCATCCCATGACAACGATGACCCTCACCTCCTTCGCTCAAGGAAAAGGGACACCGAGGTTCAGATTCGTGCTCACCGAGGCGAAACCCGAACAAGGGGTCGGGCACGAGAGATCCTGGCATCCAGAGAGACAGGTCCCCTTCGCAGGAGTCACAACCGCACTGCTATAACTGCAACTACTCAGGCCATAATGCGCGAGATCGCCCTAATAAGAGGCAAGGAAACAAGAGGAGACAGACGTTAGCAAGGGTATTACGCCACCTCCCTTCCTCAAACTCTCACAGTCCGCAGTAACATCGGAGGACGCGCGCCGGTGGTGGCTACAGCTCGAAGTAACATTGGGTTCCAACACCTACAAGTTGAAATCTGAAGAAGGCACACGCTCAGGCCCTATTTACGTGAGGCAGTTTAAACCCTACGTGAGTAGAACCTCAGCGACGGTGGGAGAAGACCCCCTTTTTTAACGACTCGGGATCCGAAGAAGAAGTGGTCAGCGCTCCCCAACCACCGTTGGCAAGCGGTAAACAGACAAAGCGCGACCCGTCTAATGCGAGCTTACTCGATATAAGCGAGGCTGCCGGACCAGCCAGGCCACAGTGAAGCCGCCCGTGTAAAGCGTTGATGGTGTCAAAGCCACCTGCCGCGGCTAAGACACCTGCAAGCGATGGCAGACCATGCGACAATGCCCGGGCGTTTGACAAAGCGGCGGGTCAGCAGCTGAACGACGCGCGATGTTTGTGGCCCCAAAAATTAGCGAGGTGTTAGTTTTGTTAGCACCTTCATCCAAACAGATCCTGTTTTTGTTTTTTTTCTCTCCTCTCCCAGTAATTGTTCCCAGAGCCTTCCTGAATGGCGCGTAGGAGGTAGAGTTGGATACCCCCTGTAACGTCTAGTCGTGGATGTGACGATGTGATACCATCGAACCTCGACGACCTCTTCCTTTGAAAGCTGCCAGTAGGGATGCCTACTGGCCTCAACGTTCCCGCTCGATTACTGCTCGAGATCTTGGCCTGGCAGAGGCATTGTCAAGGAGCTTATTAGCGGCCGTGAGTACCTGCCAACAGGCAGTTTGATTTTTAAGGGCAGCAGCCCTCGATTAGCCCGCGTTGTCTGCCCGTGCCGCGATTTTGCGCCACGAGCATGTCGAGCGACCGCGCTCGACGTGCTATATCACACCCGCATATACACACCTACACCCGCGAGTGCCTCTTATATTTTTGTCTATAATTTGGTAAATATACAGTTCTTTTATGTAATACTCGTGAGTGTTTAGTTTTTTAATGTATATATGTATATATTCGTCAAGTTTCGAATAATTTAAATTCATTATTATAATCAATTTTCTGACAGTGTTCTCTTCTTTTTTTTTTTTCTTTTTCATATATATAACTTATAATGTAACGCTTCAAGAAGATCTGGCTTACTAAGCTCCAAAATCCGGGGGGATTTTTTTCTGAAAAAAATACACTGTTTTGCAAAGGAAAAACAGAGGCGTTATTTTTCCACTTGATTGCAATTAAAACTGTTGAATCAACTTTATAAAACCACTTACATGTTTGTACAAATCCTTTTTATAAGGATTATGCGACATACGTGTACACTTTTCTGAAAATCAAAATATTTCTCAGTTATGGCTTTCATAGAAATATATAATTATTTCGACTGTTAAATGATTTTTCGTACCTGTCTTCTGGCGTGCGTGCCAAATATTCTCGCTCAATCAGACCTTCTATGCGCTTCTTAATAATAACCGGCGAAGGTAAAAATCGGACTCTTAACTGATCCACAACTTCCGAGACGAGTAAGTTGTGCTAAAATTATTTTTCATGAGAAAATTATGCCTCGTAAAAGCAGCTTGCAACAATGTGATCGTCAAGTGTAAAACTTACCGCCATCCGTTTACGATCTTTCATTATACGAACTATTGCAGCTTCAATCTCGTGCTTCCTGTCTTCATCAACTTTATTTCTAGTTTCTTTTCTCTCTGGCTCGCATTCTCCCTTTGCTGCCACCGTCTGAATTTTCACTCTAAGCAGTTGAAAAAAAATACATATAATCATGTAAGGCGATGTTTTAATACTAAAGTTGAAAAAATAACATCAATATTTCCAATGTCTCACCGGTGCAGTTTGCTGGTAAAGCTGTCGTTGACGCAGAAATAATGAGATGGCTCGATTTCTTTCGTTCGAGGATACTTGAGCAAAACTCTCTGCGTTGCTTTACCCATGGCCAACGACTGTAGAGCCCTTATCAAATCCCTCTCGGGTATATCTGTTTCATTCTGTATCTCTTCGTACGTCAGCTTCTCGCGATTGTTGAACAGCATGAGCACGCACATCTGGTATGTGGACACCTGGATAATGTGCTTGCGCGCGATGCAGGGTGTTCCGTTTCGGCCGGACGACGACGTTGGGCAGTCAGCAGCGAGGCTGCTGTCATCCCTTTTTGGACCATAAAAGGTGGCATTCAAGTCTGCCGAACCTGATGAATAAATATTTTTCAATACAAGTATTGCGGGCTCTTCCACCTTCGATTGTTCAATTCAAAATTGTTTAACTTACCTAACTGGGGCTGCAGTGTTAATTGGCGGCCACTGTGTTTCCCCAGGTAAAAACGCCTGAAGGCATCAAAGGCATCGCGAGGTGCGGAAGGCATACTGCATTTGGGAGTGGCTGCTTGAGTTGGCCAAAATCCAGTTGTTAGTACTCGTACGCTTAAATCCACACCACTTAATGTCATCTAAAAATATTGTATTAACAATAAATAAAAGTGGCATGGACTGTAAGTCATTGCACCATATCGTGAGTAAAAAATGATCGTACTCACATTACAAGCAAGGACGTGTTCTTTGAATTCGTCCATGATTGTGTTACTGACAGTAATGTCCTTGAACATGCCTTCTAGTTTCGATGTAAATTGGCAACCACATTCAGTCTAAACAAACAGAAATTAATAAAATAGTATCTAAAACGTTTGTATAACATGTATTGACTTATTTTGCATTCAGGAATCCAGGAAATGAACAAGGAGTAAGTCAAATGTTCAACGAAATATATATTACTCAAAAGGCTTATTATTCTATTAAGAATGTGCAACCCAAGGAATCTTTGTGAGGACCAGGGTTCAGTGTTCTCATAGCGAGCAGGATATTAATGTCGACGTTGAACGCTCCTTGACTCTACATATTTAAAGACACGAGTGGCCAATATCGCTACATTGAAAATGCGTGTACTGTAGAATTTTTGTTACACCCACCTTTAGTTTTGAAATCATATTTTTCTCGCTATCATCAGAAACGGATTTGTTTAGCAAAAGTCTCTTGGCCAAATGCTGTTTGTAGTATCTTTCAAAGACATCTTTTTCTTGTAGAAACCGGAATAGTACCATAGTTTTATCCAAAATACCTTCGATTTCTTGTTCTGTCATCTAATAAAAACAAGACATTTTCGTTATTATTATTATTATTATTATAACATATTATTATTATTTATATACATGTAACTTAGTATAAAAACTGATTAAACATAATAAAACTTACTCCTTTGAGACCCTTTTTCAGCTTGTCATCGATAAACAATGAAAGATATTCAGGACTCTTTGTGTTCAAATTTAAAAAGTATTCGAAATCTGAAGCAATCATTTGCTTAAATTGTTTGTCATTGCTAAACGAATGTTGTAGAATAAGTTCGAAACGATCCTTCAAATCCAAAAGATTTTGAACAAACAGAACGGCATTGGTATTGGCATCTTGTTCCTCTTGAACAAGAGCTCGACCCCTTTCCCTTAGGTATTGTGAAACACAGCCACATACGGTGTTCAGACCATCATTAACTCGAGAGAATAATTTATACATGCAGCTTAAGTCTTCGGTTTTTTTGTTTTGAAGCATATGAACGACGCCACTGTTTTCCATCTATTGAGAAAATGACATTTAACCCAATATAAAAGCTCAAATCAAACATAATTCTTTTTCAAAGCTTACCTCAACAATAGTTTTCATGTTCTTTTTTATTAGTTCCTCCTCAACAACCTCGACTATCCGATTCTCCGTTGACTCATCCAAATAATGCTTAGCTCTTTCTGATTCTTCTGTTATTCTGGCTTCAACTTGCTTTATGTATACAGATGCACTATTTTCAGCTAAGAATTTTTGTGATTCCATCTGAAAACGAAAAATTGTATTTTTACTTCGTACAAAAACCTGAAAGTATTAATTTTACATGTAAAATTCACCTTATAAAACTCCACACTCTGCTGGAGGAAGGGTCTTTCGAAGTCTTCCTCGTAAACTTGGCGGCTGTTGATGCCCAACAGCATCAACATTTGGCAAGCATTTTTGATAGCTATGCGATCTACGATTTCACCTCTTCGTTCGCGAGCCACCATTCCTAACAAGGTTTCGCGCAAGTGGTCTCTGATATTGCCATATCTAACAACCTGTTAAATGCAAGAGTCAATAAAATACAAATTTATACGTTACACCTACTGGAAGCTAGACGCGATATTCAAGTTTGTCATGGCTTAAACTTTTCAAGACTTTCCTCAACATAGCTACACAATTATTCAGATTAGTGATTTTTAGTGATTCCACATTAGTCGTTCAACAGTTTTACATTACTTTTGTCATAAAAATAATTTACACGAGCACAATAAAGCATAATATCATAAATTTATCAAAGATACTTAAACTTTGAATTTAATATTATTTGACGTGTAATTGCAAGAAAATAATTGAAGTGCAGAGCGAACAGATGAAAAATTTATCATCCACATCGAAATTTACATTGTGAAAATTCGCGTTAGATTCTGTGATATGGAAAAATAAAATTTTCAACTCACTTGATCACGAAATATGATTAGTCCCAAATTAAACACATTGTCCACATTATTTTGCAGTACGTAAACTCTATCCATGTACATGAGTATATCTCTAATCATCACCATAGAAGTCTGATGATCATTCCATGCTTGATTTAATGTCTGTAAAAAATTGTTGTGCAAAGAATCCAGAACATCTTTGCGCACTTTGTTCACCAAATGCTGTGTAATAACTTCTTTCAGTCCTGTGTAAAGTCTCTCGCCATATTTGTGCAGAACCATTGTATAGGCATTGCGATACAGCTCTTCAAAGCTGAGACTGGAGTTATTTTTCTTTTGAATTTCTTGAATTGCATTTTTGAGAAGAGCCCAGATGTTTTCTACATATCTTTCATCCATAGACGTCTATAAAAACAACAAATTTGTAAGTGAAATGTATAAAGACATCCAAAATGTTAGTAGACTCACAAGTTTTTCTGTAATCATAAAGGGAACAGATGAGTCTTGCTTTAAAAATCTTAGATCTACAGTTCTGTGGTTCAAATTTCTCAAGTTACTTTGCAACGTTGATTTCGTGAATCGACTGATATCCATGCTGATCTTTGTATAAAGAACTTGCATTTATAAGACTCAAGTCTTATGAGTCCTTACACCAATGTAGAATACTTTAAACAAACACATCACCTTCCACGATATTGTAAATTGTATGTTTTGTAACAAAACATTTTTAACAAACAAGTGGTGTTGAGAAGATAAAAAAATTAGGGTTCACAATTACGATTGATCATCGTATTTTGAACTGAAAATTTGGCAAAGAGTTGTATAACCAAAAAATTTTTTTTATTTTCACTGGGAAATTTTCTTTGTCAAAAGATCAACAATTTGTTATTCAGTTACCAAGGTGATGTCCATTGGTGCAAAGGATGCATAACCTCACATGTGCCATTACTTTTGACAAGCTACAAAAAAGATTTTGGATAAAAAAAAATGCAGCACATCGAGGAAAAGCACATGATTTTAATCATACAATAACCATGATTTTATCAATTTTTAAACTTAGGTAGAAATTGTTTGTTTTTCCAAAAAATCAATCAATAAATCATACGTGTATCACAATCACAGCTATCAAGAGAGTAAAATCAGAAATTTCTAACCACCTATAGAAGCTCATTATTGTTTAACTTAAGACAGGATGATATACAATTACTACACCGCAGTGTGTGAGAAATGAAGGAATAAAAAGACTTGTAAATATAACATTATGAGCTCGAAGGGCGTCTAACGGGAAAAATATTTACAACAAACTCACCGGAAAGGCCCTGATACGCATCTTGCTTTCTTTTTTAGGTAGGCTCTTCATCATGACTTTGTTGCGTCAATGATAATTATTTTTTTGCCGTTACAACGACGGAACGATTCCTGGCCTGCAGTGTGTTCATTGACAGCTGAAGGCAGCTCTTCTTTGGCAACGTACACAATACAACTCTGTGAACTGATGTTACAGGAACTCTTGTTTAAGGATCAGAAGGAAGACACCATGGCATCGGTATCTGAAAAAAAACAAAAACTATAGCACATGATCTCGCAATACCCTGAAATCCTCGTGTATAAGTGTGAGGTAAATAATGTAAACGGTGTCAAGTGATGGAACCTAGCTCCCTTTGTTTCAAAATACAACCGCAAGCGTTGTATGCATCTGGAGTTTACATAGCATATTCAAGATGAAAAAAAGGCGAGTGTTTCACACTATCACACACCAACACACTTGACAGAGGATATATCTAGAACCTGGATTGCCTGGAATATCTGATGGACACTCAAGACTCGTGAACAGTTAACTTTTTACTTGACACTGCAGTTTTTTTGGATTCCCTCTGTATAGGTACTCTGTACTGACACGCTCTTTGGCCTTACACTTACTTATTATACGCGTAAGCACATGAGCATAGGAAGTTGAAAAGAGAAAGTGTAGTACTTATCAATGTAACGATAAGCGCGAGTTTTCTTATGAAAGCTTTTAACTTATACGTATACGTAAGTGTGATTGCTTAAAGGTAAGTAAACTGGAACTACTAGAAGAGAGGAAAAAAAAAAAGTTAAAAGAGAAACTTCACATGAAATGTAAGTAAAGAGAGCGTACACTTGCGCCGTGTTGTGTGAGTTGGGTTGATTTGTTTTGTACCTACTTATATAGATATAGGAGTATTGTGAGTGGATCGACGGAAGAATTCTGGGTCTTTGTCTGTGCCCCTGAAGACCTGGTAGTGTATCAAGTTAAGTATATACTTACTCAGTTGCCAATGGGTCCCAAAATAAAATTGACAAAATGAGAGAAAAGATGTATAAAATCTGTCGGATAAGGCGAATTTGTTTTAAAACTGTACTTACTCTTGAATCCTATGCTGCTGTCGCTCGCTCGAAGGCTCTCTCTTTCTCTCTCTGCTCTTTCTCTCTTGGCCTCCCCCACTTTGTGTGATTGACTCTGTAAGGCTTGGATGCCTTTCTTTTTTTTTTGGAGATAACACGATGTGTCTATTCGCACAAAATCCTCGTATTTACATGAACATGAGGTTAGGATTTAATGAAAAAATAGGACACTTTTTTTTATATTGTAGTGGATACGTAATTAAGATATGATGATAAGGTAGGATGAATGTATTAAGGCTACCTGACAAGGGCCTTTTGAGGCAGCGTTAGGGGTCGAGGCCAACACACTAACAGTTACTAGGCCCTGGGTAGGACGGATTTAGAAATGTATGTACACACTGGTGGCAGTTTTTAATTCGTTGAGCGGGAAGTATAAAATTGACCAATGAAAGAGGTTATGTTATCGAATCAGCCAACGGGAATTGAATATTTTAATTTCCCGCTCAACGAATTAAACGGCCTCCACTATACGCTACGCACTCAGTGGAACTCTGATCTGTCCCGGATCCTATTTCGGAACTATGGCGTGAAGAGGCTCTTCAATAAAATAAGGTCTGGGACAGAAAAAAGTTCCACTGACTGTACATATACCCCCACTCAGAGGTCAGTGGTCAGTCCTTAGAACTTAGAACACTATAATTTATAAAAAAAAAATTACAGATATACTGGTAAGTTGATAAAAAATCAGTTACGCGAGTCTTGCATTTAAAAATCATCTGGAATATCCATCCAAACCTGCAAAATATTTCATAATTATACATTTTATATATATCGCCGCAAGAGTTCGGGTCCTGGTCAAGTCAACTTTTCAAAAGATGAAAGTTGAAGTCTGCAGGGATTTATTTTCAAGTCTCGTGGCTGGCTTTGCACCAGTAACCCTGAAGGGTTACAGGAAAGTTGGTTCCGTCGTGGGTCATGGGTTGGATTCCCGGTTCCCGGTCGGGGCACTCAGATTTTTTCTGACGGTTCTGGTCAGGTATCGAATTCATAAAACCGATTTAGGGTAAGGCTTAAAATTCACTCACCACGACCTACGTAACTTTACAGCCTCTGATTTTATCATTCTGGTAAAGAGAGCACGGTGTAAGATGTACGTGAAGTTATGTGTAGTAATTAAAGTAATTACTACTAAGTAATGCCATATGGTCGATTTTATTAAACCATATGAATGTCTATATTTTTGGAGGTCGACTTTTGGGTATAAAATATATTGTAAACTTGCCGCAAACCGAACAAACTCTGTCAACTTTTATATTATCTATCTATAAAATTAGTTGCGGCTGGTTTATAATTGATTAAATGTCTCTAATATAAGTAATAATTATTTGGATCAGCGCCATCTAGCGTTGCAAATTTCTGAACAAAAAAGTGGCCCTAAACTTTTGAACCAGAGCTTTAGCGCGTAGAGCCATTTAGTCAGTTATAAACCAGCCGCAACTCATGATGAAGCTAAGGAATGATAAAAAAAATGTATGTGTTTTTGGCGGCAAGTTAACAATCTATTTTCTATCAAAAAATCGACCTCCTATGTGTTTATACTTTTGAAAATAAATTTTCGAGCATAAGATAGATTGTTAGCTTGCCGCCAAAAACACACGTACCATTATTTTTTTATTTTATAGCTTCATCATAAGTTGCGGCTGGTTTATAATTGACTAAATGGCTCTAATCCTAAATGCTCTGATTTAGAATTTTAGGAGCCACTTTTGGCCAAAAAATAAAGACCGCTAGATGGCGCTAATCCAAATAATGATTACTCTTATATTAGATTAGAGCCATTTAATCAACCAGCCGCAACTAATTTTATAGATAGATAATAAAAAGTTGACGTGGTTTGTGCTGTTTGCGGCAAGTTTACAATTTATCTTTTATCCGAAAATCGACCTCCAAAAGTATAAATATTTTACTTATCATAATATGCAATATGCTTATAAAATCGATAATATTTACAAAATTTTAATACTCTAGACCTTTTACCATTAACTCATGTAAGCACTAATTAATCAATCCAAAAGAGACAACCGAAGAAAAAGGCCTGAAAAAGAAGCACAGTCAGTAGTCACACGAAAAGTCTCATAAGAATGGAGCATTGGATCTCACTTGATTAGAGAAGGTTGGGTTCTTTGTTTACTTATAACACTTAAAATTTACATCTCTGTAATAAATGTATTTATCAATTAGTGAAATCCGATGCTCCATTCCTAGGAGACTCTTCGTGTGACTGCTTCTTTTTAAGACCTTTTTTCTTCAGTTGTTTCTTTTCGACTGATTAATTTACGTGTATATTTGATCGTGATTTACGATTTCTGTAACACAAATTTTGCTATGTACGTATTATATAAGTTAACTGTTTATTGGAAATCTAAAGTTGAAGGGCAGTTCTTTCATTAGTTAATAGTAAAAATTTAAGAGTATTGTAATTTTGTAAATATTGTCGATTTTGTGAGCCATATAAGACAAGTAAAATATTGATGGTTTCGGAGGTCGATTTTAAGGTAAAAGATAAGTTGTAAACTTGCCGCAAGTAGCACAAAAAATGTTAACTTTTTATTAAATATCGATATAAAATTTGTTGCGGCTGGTTTATAACTAATAAAGTGACTTTACTGTAAGTAGCAATAATTATTTGGATCAGCGCCATCTAGCAGTCTTTATTTTTTGGCCAAAAGTGGCTCCTAAAATTCTAAATCAGAGCATTCAGGATAAGAGCCATTTAGTCAATTATAAACCAGCCGCAACTCATGATGAAGCTATAAAATAAAAAAATAACGATACATGTGTTTTTGGCGGCAAGCTAACAATTTATCTTATGCTTGAAAATTTATCTTTAAAAGTATAAACACATAGGAGGTCGATTTTTTGATAGAAAATAGATTGTTAACTTGCCGCCAAAAACACATGTTTTTTTTTTTTTTATCATTCCTTAGCTTCATCATAAGTTGCGGCTGATGGTTTATTACTGATTAAATGGCTCTACGCGCTAAAGCTCTGGTTCAAAAGTTTAGGGCCACTTTTTAATTCAGAAATTCGCAACGCTAGATGGCGCTGATCCAAATAATTATTACTTTTCTTATATTAGAGCCATTTTATCAATTATAAACCAGCCGCAACTAATTTTGTAGATAGTTAATAAAAATGTTTTGTGCAATCGTTGTCACCAGCAAGCTTGCATACTAGTATACAAGTATCATGATTATATATTAATGGTACAATTTGTAATGGTAGTTTATCTTACGAGCGCAGTCGATGCTTTGTTACTTCGTTTTTTCCCGCTAGATGGCTTTGACGGTAGGTCCGGCCAAAGGCCACCTAACTGGAGTTGTCTCCGTCTTTATAATCTCTGTCCGGAAAAAGGTGATGATGTTTTGAAAGTTTTCTTTTCTTTTATCTTGTTCTATCTTGATTCGTGGGATAAAATAAAAGGTTTGTAAAAAAGTATGGAAATTGAATCATATCGTGAATTTATGCTATGTAACGTTGATTACATATCTGCCGGGATGCAAGCGGATACGAGATTCAGGAGCCGCGGTTAACGACGACCTTCCACGCTTGTTCTCTAGTCTTCCGCTGTCGACATACATAACCTCGTGATTAGTTTGTGTTGTTTTTTTTTTTTATTTACCAATCGTGCTGCTTTGTTGTTCTTGCCATAAATTCTCGTTGATTAGATGTGCATATTGTTAACAAGAACTTCAATTTGAATGGTGATGTTGACGCTATAGTTACTATTGTTTGTTATACTTGCAGCAACACAATGGCCCCTAAAAGAGGCAAGGTTCAAAAAGAGGAAGTCCAAGTAAGCTTGGGTCCTCAAGTTCGAGAAGACGAGAAAGTTTTTGGAGTGGCCCACATTTTTGCCTCTTTCAACGACACTTTTGTCCACGTTACTGACTTGTCCGGACGGTAAGGTCCTTTAAGTTTTACAAAATACATCTGTACAATGTAATATAAGATTCTGTATAATGTCGAGTTTGCAGTACTGCATGTTAAACTACTAACTAGTTTTGCCATTTCATTCTCATATCTTGACGCTTTTCTACTCAAGAATAACTTGTATACGTTTTACTAATCATGTTAGTGGTTCTTGAAACTTCAAGTATACATATGTATACTATTGTAGCCACACTCAGGCAGCACTCGAATTCAACCAAAGTTCTTCCTGTGCGTTCATGTGTGTGGAAAATTGAATCTTTTTTTCATGTTTAGGAGTTACTATATAACTTTTTTCATGAAACAAAGTACAATATATCAAAAAAATGATCAGTATTTTCAAAAGCTTTTTATCACTTTGAAATCTTGTTTTTTAATACCATGGCAAGCATTACATTTCATCGAATAATCAAAATCATTTGTATTTTTATTTCAGAGAAACCATAGCTCGTGTCACAGGAGGAATGAAAGTGAAGGCTGACAGAGATGAAGCTTCTCCTTATGCCGCTATGTTGGCTGCTCAGGTACATATTATACCTTTCTACTAGAAACATTGTTTATTCATTCAAAATGAAATTCAAAGATCCATACTCAGGCAGCACTAAGATGTAGAATAAATTAATCTTGAGCGCGTTCATGTGTATGGGAAAGCAATTCTCTTTTCATTATCTAAAAAAAAGTATACTAAACATAACTTTTTTTTCAAATGAAACTGGATACAAATTTTTCTAAATTCTACACCTCTACCATTGTTATTGTTTACTGTGTACGTTACAGTTACCTTGTTTTTTTGTTTTAGGATGTTGCTGAAAAATGTAAAACATTATCAATAACTGCCCTGCACATAAAACTCAGAGCAACAGGTGGAAACAAGACGAAAACACCAGGACCTGGTGCTCAATCAGCCTTAAGAGCAATTGCCAGATCTGGTATAAAGATTGGAAGGATAGAGGATGTTACGCCTATTCCTTCTGATTCCACAAGAAGGAAGGGTGGGCGACGTGGTAGAAGGCTTTAAATTAAGGTTATGGTGTATGGTGTGGTACATTATATTATAATAAACTTGTAAAAAACATTTTTTGCGTAATGAAACATATTTTATTATACTTCCTTTACTTGCTTGTATTAATTGAATTATGTTTTGTCAATAAAATGTATGAAAGTAAGTGTTTTAGCACTTTTGGCTGAATTTTGAACTTGATTACAGAGAACTTTATAACATTCGTAATTACGAATTATGATGTGAATCTAAGGTGATTCATTTTTACCTGACAAGACAAAAAAGTTAAACGACCAATAAATGTGACTTGAGCCATGAAAAATTTAGGGTCACTAGAAAAAGCAAATATAGTTTGACTCCATCACAGTCATGAATCAATTCTGATAATTTGCATTCCAACATACTTTTTTTCAAGAAAAATCGCCCATTTTAACATTTTACAAAACGTGTAAACGCGTAACGTAATACAACTTTACTTTTTTCTGTACCAATTCAATTTGGACACCCCAGATCGTCGAAATTTAGAATAGTATACTAAATGGTTTTTTTTTTTTTTTTTTTTTTTTAATGTTAAGTAGTAATGCAAGAAGCTGAGTTTCCTATTAATTTAAAATTAAACATTATGTAATCAGCTTTTTATCGATAAACGAAGAAGAGTAAATAATTTCTTTATACAGGTAATAGATAAATGCAAGAGTATAGAAAATACAATATTAAATCGATCATAACAATATTATGAATATAAGTATTTGACAAAATTAATTTCTTTTTTCATTCATTGATTGAAGCATATAGGTATTAATAAATCATTGTCTGTTTCATTACATTGGTGGCCCAAAAAAATGTAAACAATTGTTTTTCAGTCACCTACATGTTATTTTTTTCTCCATCCTGGACGAAAATTAGCACCATTATTTAAAAAACTCTTTAAAAATAACACATAAGTAGGCAAAATGATTTGATGTACCTATATGTCTTTTGGTTATCGACAATGGATGGACACTGCACTGCAGCATTGTAAATGCTGACGTGATGGTGTAACTGCATCTCCGACCGCGTGGCGGCATGATTTACTCCCGCATGTGGCGAAAATAGAGTCTGGTTAGTATATATAGACCAAATTGTGAGCAGTCGTTCAGAGATGTGTGCTCACCGGCTCATGACGTAAGTCTAGAGTCACCCACGTGGTCGGATTCGGTTTGAATAGTTTGCTACGTTGTAGTAGCTCACCAATCCGTGCCTACAGGTAAGTAAGGTAAGTAGGACGTGGTGAATGACTTGCTGGTGCGTACATATTTTTTGTTTTTATTTTCACATTTCTGTTAAAAACCAGTGTCCTGCTGTATTATTTGCGTTTTTCCGAACCAAATTCCTCTCTTTTTTTTTCATTTCTTCTTACAAAGTGTGAAAATTTTGAAAAATCAAGAAAAACATACGTCTGCTGCTTTAACTTAATATAATTTTCCAACATTAATCAACTTACATATTGTATTCTGTCTATATTTATTATAAAAAATGTTTTTTTCAGTTATAATGCGTTTAAACAGCCTTTCATATTTTTGCTCCTTATTTTGTGTTCTTTTGAAAAAACGGGTACTGAATATACAATCGTAATAATTAAAAATATGCTTTTAATTTTAATCAGATGAGATTTTTAATGAAGTCTCAAAATTTCATATTTTCGAATCATTTTTTAATACGTACACATAGTAATAACATAAATAAACTGATTTTCCAAAAAAAAAACTGATAGAACAATGATATTAAAAAAAAAATCTTTTTTTTATCAATATGCATAACATTATAAAATATTATCACATGTCATGTACTAATATCAAATCATATTTTTACTGTCACTTTTTTTTTCGTTTTAAAACGTGTAACTTATTCCACAATGTAAATTTTCACATCAATTTAAATGGATATCCGCATTCTTTAGTTTTTCATCTTGACATAAAAACACGTGTTATATAATCGCATAATAATTACATTTTAACAAACAAGTACATACATTAGGCTCTTAACCATCACATGTTGCGCTTATTATTCGATATTTCGTAAATCTTACTAGCGCGTTTTTGACGTGAAAACAACGATTTCCGTGAAAAAAATTATAAAGAAATAAACAGAGATATAGAAAAAAAGATCTGATTTTTCCGTTTTCATCCCTTTCGAGGAATTGAGAAAAACTATGAAATCAATACTTTTTCTTTGAAAAAAACCTTTTTTTTCAACAAAACTCGACACTTTCACTTTGAACAAATAAAATGTTTGTCTCGGAATGGGATGAGCAACAGTGTGGCCAGAGCTGGTGTGGCTGCTAATAGACGGCTCTAAAAATTAAATATTTTCACGTGTTTCTCGTAAGGACAATGAGAGTTTTATGATAAAATAGACTTATCAACGTATTAATGAGGTCATCACTACCATCGGTCATAAATGGTAGAAAATTCGATTTTAAAAATAGCAAATCCGATATGGTGGATAATTAGTAAAAAATCCTTTAGTTTTTCAATTTTTTAAAATTCAACTATTTTTAACGCAAAATTTTGTGTTATTTTGAAAGAAGAAATAATTCAAGTGTTTCAATAATGCATTAGTTATTGCGCTTATTATTCAACATTTCATAATTATTACTAGCGCGTGAAATCGCTTCGTAAAACGCGCGTATCTTATGCGGGGGAAGCGCGCATGCAGTGTTTGTTTTTGTTGACTGACAACAATTGACAGTAAACGAGTACGAATCCGTCTCTGGTGAAGGCGTATAACATTTTTTTTTTTTTTTTTTTTAATTTGAACAAAAAAACAAGTAGTGAGTATACAAATAAGATAAAATCGGTGGTCATTGTTGCCTTTTGTTCAGCAATTTTGATATTACCGGAGGCAAAATGACGAAAATAATCGAACTACGTCCAGATAGAAATCTTTTGAACGCGGATTTTGAAAAGTATCAATTTTGCTCTGATGAAATACCCATAAAGTGCGAAAAGAAACTTGATGCTGGTGAGTGTAACCTAGAGAGTAGAGGTTAAAAACAAAAAATTGATTTCTCTTTATTAAGTTGGATATTTTTTCTTTAGAAATTTTGCACGTCGAATTGAGCTCGTCCCGAGATTCATGGCTGGAAGCTAAGCTGTTTGCATTCCACAATCATTTATTTAAAAATCCATTCGATTCCAGTTGCTGGTTTGTCGATACCAATGGTGGAGTTTGGAAATTCATGCTAACGGGAGCATTGGAATTGGTGCACACTAGTAAAACCATCGCTGCTAAATCTGCCCAGTGTTTGTACAATCCTTCAATTGCATTTGCATCAGAGGATATATTTGTCATAAGCAATGGAGGAGGAGCGCTGGAATTTTTGATAAAAAAGGACGGATGTTTGAAAATGTTTTTAATGAATGACGTTGAGCCTGCCATCGTATTAGATGCAAGGTTTGTCAACGAAAATTCAAAAATAATTGTTGCTCTGTATAAAATTGATGAAATCAAAGGCAAACGCTTTTCGAGACTAATATTTTTAACTTATGATTACAACGCAAACAACGAAGATCAGTCTCAGATTGTAAAGCTAGCTAGGAAACAGACGATGAAAGTGAAAGGTTCCATAGATATGGTTTACTTTGAAAAGAATGGACATTCGTGTCATGTTATCAGTCAAGATTACGTTGAGTTTGACTACGATTCTGTAAATCCTGTTAAAACAGATGAGAAAAAAGGAAATGTTGAGTCGCAAATAAAAATTCCAAAGTACAGCTGGTCTCAAGATGAAAACTCGATAACGGTTTACGTTAAAACTCCAGAAAAGTACAAAAGCATCACTACCAAAGTTGACGTTAAGCCGTTTAACGTTTCAATAGCTGTGAGTGACATGACTTTGCTACATGGAGAGACTTCCTACAAACTGGATTCAGAGTTAACAACTTGGAAACTCAAAGATGATACTTTAGAAGTTGAACTTTTTAAAAGCGAGAGTGGTTTGATGTGGAGTGAATTGTTGAAAGGTGATACAGGTGGCGAGTACATACCAAATGAAACATTAGCTGCTGAAATTCACTCAAGGTATTAATTTTCATATAATAACTGAATTTATCAAGATTTTAAAAAATTGCTTGTGGTTGCAAAATAACTGCAGAGTTTAGGTACGTATAATATGTATTTATGTTATTTCTTTTGGTTTCTAGATTAGCGCATTTATGTTCAGAAAATCAAGAGTCCAATACACAAGGTCAATCTGCCATTGGATTTAACTCAGAACAGTTGGAAGATTGTGACTTTAGCGGAGCAGAAAATATTCTACAAAGAATAAACATCGACTCCCATGAAATCACGCATATGGCAATGTTGGGCAGTAGCAACAGAGTTCTATTCATGGATAAACAATCTTCTAATCAAGTTGTATGCTTGAGGCATGATCATGATGGATGTGCGTGGTTTTTAAATGAATGTAATAATGATAATGAGTGGAGCCACACGCATAGCTACACTTTTCCAGGATTTGGATACATTGAAGCTAGTAAAACGAATAAACAGTTTTGTATATCGCCACCTGGTATGTATTACAAAAAAATTCAACTGCGGTATCCTTGTGTTTAATGTGCATGTTGTTTTTATTTTCACTCTCCAGATGGATCTTGGATTGCAATAGTCGAGCACACGAGGCACGCGTTTGTATATGAAAAGCCAGAAAAAGGATCAAAAGTAGGAAAACAAAGGATAGTAGATTTTGGAATAGAAGTTGCTGTGTTGGGTGCCATCAGTACAAATAAGTATCTAATTATCTTAACAAAAAATTCACTGCAACAATTCCAACTTTATTCATAACGCTGTACTTTACATTTTTACTGTAAATAAAGATTCTTTTTTACAAATTTACATATTTACATTGATACCTATAACGTAATAAAATACATTGAAAATAACAAAAGTTAAGAAACAAAAATGTAACTTATGGCTTAGCTTCTAGATAAAAATATAGCTGAAATAAAATAAGAATATGGAACTTTTTCAAACGAAACGTGCAATTCAACTTTTTCTAGTAAAAAAATAATTGATTTTGTTCGATAATAACATCCTAGACCGAAGAGATCGATATTATTTTGAGCACTCTTAACATTTGTTTTTCAAAAAAAATTGAAATAAAACAAAAAAAACTTTCATAACTGAAAGACTGATTATTTGGGATTTTCATTTTTCTTACTAATAATATTTACAAATTCATTCATACTAAGTGATTTATCTTCCGGCCAATTCCATACAACCCGTGTTCCGATGACTTTAGCAAAACTAGCTTTTGCTTCATCCGGCAATTCCCGCTCCCAAAATGACTTTTGTTTTTTTATATTGTAAAAATAATAACTATGATTTTTATTGCTAAAGTGTCGAGCCCATGGCTCTTCTAGAGTTTTGAAAAATATGAGATTCCTGGGTATCCAATAATACGGTTGATTGCTGTCGTTTTCATGGAGATGCCTTATGGGAAAGTAACCCAAAACTTTCGACTTGTTTTTCATGGTTTTAGCTTCCAATTTTAGTTTTTCACCTAGACTAGGCGATAGGTAAAACCAATCTTTGGCTCTAACTGGTGAAAATGGATTGCTCGTTGGTTTCCAAAGAGATTTGCAGAACAAGTTTATAAGTTTCCATCTGTAAATATTAAATGGTTACTTACAATACATCACGACCACAACTGATTACTAAACAAAAGTGAAAGATTCATTACCTTTCTGTTATGTGTTTCTGGGAAATGTTTTCAGATCCAAGTTGAAAAGCATCAATTATGTGAAGCCCGTAAGTTTTTATTTGACTTCTTTCTTCGCTTCTCAATTCTGACACCAATTCTGCATAGACTAATGTATCGCGTGGTAAATCTATAAGAATATCGTTCAGTGGCTTCCACTGTCCATTGGTGTATTTAAAAACTTGTGAGCGGCCCATACCAAGGTACATTGTAGGTGCAACGTCTTCATACATCGAGGTAACATTATCACCAGAAGAACATGGCACACAGCACCAATCCAATTGGTTGGTAATTATAGTATTAACATTTTCTTTTTTTAGTTTTGTTGCATCTTTGTAAGCCATTTTTTCCAATATACTACTAGAACCTCTCAATAAATGTTGTACTTTAGTGGAAGGTGCCATTCTAGACGGCAATGATCTAGACTCATCTGGTACTTCCCAGTACTTTAAACATTTTTCTCTAAACATTTTTTGTCTACTTTCAAATAAGTCTTTGTGTTCCGTATAATGAGCTATTTTTTTCAATCCAACTATTTGCCTCCTACCCAACTCTTCATTTGATTCTTTTAGATAGTTGAAAAACCTTTCATCTTCAAATAATTTTTGCGACGGGACTAACTCTAAGATATCGTTGTTTTTGTTGCCCTTCAATAATTTTTCATTTGCTCTAAATAGATAGTTGGTAATAAAATCAATATTTGGTCGCTTTCCTTGGCAAATTAAGTACCTTTCTGAGTTGGCTGGTCTGGAGGTATTTGGTTTGAAAATACTGATTTGGTTAAAACAACGATATAATATGTACACTAAGCCAGCACTAAATGGAGTAAACAAATCGAATACTTTGGTCACAAAATGTCCACCAGTCCTTACAATCATCAATGCAACCAAACATTGACAAAGATACAGCTGCTTAGACAAAATTTCTTGTATATTTTCTTGTCCTTCAACTGAAAATCCTCCATCAGCCATCATAAAATGTACTCCTCGTTCGTTTGTTTGCGACATAATTAGATCTCTCAAGGCTATTTGATTTTTCGGCTGATAGACATCGCCAGTATCATCAACGCCATAGTACGGATGGAACGTTTCACAAGGCCCTGCTTGGAATTCATGGAGCTTGAAATCATTTTCACTTTTTAATGTGAAACCAAAACCTTTGGCTCTCCACTTTTTTCTCCATAAAACATACTCGCTAAATCCTCCAGGTCCAGCACAAACATCAGCAAAGTACAACAGTTCGTCCGGTTGAAGATTGAGTGGGTTTGTGAACATTAAATTACAGGCTTTGTCTATGTTGGCCATTTTAACCGCTGCTCTGTTTTGAAACATAGCCCCGCGTATTGTTTCAAACGGATTGGATCGAGTTCTAGCTTCTTGCATTTCCCTGTTGTCTAGTCTATCAAACACGCTTTTTGAGTTGACCACTTCTCGTACAATAAATTCGTCGCAAAACATTGTTTCATTATCAATAGTGTCTTTACATTTTCCAACTAATCTTTCATTTTCCCATTCGGTTACTTCCTCATCCAATGGCAACTCTTCGTGGGTGTTTTCTAGCCAAATGATCTTTTCGACCACTTCAACAACTTCTTTTTCAGGATCAAATTCAATTTCGGCTCTCTGCAATTCTTTTAATTCAAGTCCGAGACCTCGACGACCTTTCTGAGATGATGCTTCCACTGGTTGCACCCTACCTTGTAATGATTTACCTAAACCTTTGCCAGCCTCGTAACCCATCTTTTGCATCATAAGTTGAATTTTATTCCTGGCTTCGGACTGACTATTTGCTCCAGGAGTATTGACATTTTTTTTCGTACTTTCGGCGTCAGTTTGAGATTTTGAAAATTCATCCGTTTGATCTGTGTCGAAGAAAAAAAAAAAAATCAATAACTATCAGTTTTCTTTCAACACATGCAGCTGTTAAAATGTCATCAACTCGCGAAGGAAAAATTAAGCTATTTTAAAATTATTTACGTACCAGATAAGCTACTGTCGTGATAGTATGAGCTGTGGGTTTGTTTATCCGCTTCGTCATCAGACTTCTCACTACGATAACTATCATCATAGAAATTTGGCTTTTCGAAACAATGATCATCCTTGGTGTCATCCTCTGATTCCTTACTATCGTGGCTTTCGGTGTAACTAGAATCTTTAGAGGGACATGGAGTGTTAGTAATATACTTCACGTAAATAAATTGGGAAAATTGTTAATTTTCTCACCTCGGCGACTGCTCTTGGAGCATCTTTCCAAGGACTCATCGAAAGAAAAGTGGGACCTTTTAGATCCAGTAAGAATAGGAGACATGGCCTCCTCTCCGCTGGAACTGTCCGTAGTGTCTGAAACATCACGTTTTCAATAACATTTGAATCAAAGTCTACTCTACCCTTAACAATATTGTAATGAGAGTTCAATAAAAACGTGATGAAACACTCAGCAGGAAAAAACATCCACTTTTATCATAGCCAAAGAGCAAAATCAAATGGCAAACAATTCATCATGTTTTTGTGCAATAGAGGTTAAGATGCTGGTGCTTTGTTAAGAATGCAAAAATTAATCAGTTGAGTGTCCATTTTTTTAGAGAATCTTTTCATTGCAATGTAAAAGGTTGCAGGGGGTGGATATTTCTGGAAAGGACAATGACAAAGAGATTTTTTGCCCAAGGGACCCGGGTTATCTCTTCATCGTCGACAAAGTGCCGTTGCACGAATTGAAAATCGTTAAACAAAAGATACTATCTGAAAACTTGGGGGTTAAGGATGTGGATGGAAAATAGAAAATTGAGGACCAGCGATAAAAAATGAACAAACAATCGCAATATACATGCGGACGTACCTGTTAACCTCTCAGACGCCATTTTGTCAAATTTACTCTTTTCGCTGTGCTATTCGCACCAAATCCATGTAATTACGTGGATATAAGGTTAGGAATTTTAATGAAAAACGCCACTTTTTCAAATGAATTATGTCCACGTAAAGTAAAGTTCGCACCAGTGCTCTCGCCTGGGCGTCTACTGAATAACTGAAGCGGGTGGGAAACGAAACCAGATACTAGACCTAATCTCTGACGAAACGCACGAGCGCACGAGTGCACCGAGTGCACGAGCGTTCGTTTTGAGTTAGCGCGCATGCGTTTGGCTGCAGCACTGAAGCACTCTGAGGGTGAGATTACATGGAGTCTGGCAGTCTGCAGACTGGCAGAATCGCGCTAAGTTTAAAATATGTTTCAATATTAATATTTAAAACCTGTTGCGTAAGCAAAGAAATAATTATCGTAATACATTTGCATTTCTGTATTAACTAATATTTACGAAAAAAAAAGGCGACAAAAAACGTTTTGTCACAGTTACATATTGTTATACATACCAGGATGACAAAATTTATCGCACGCGGGATGGAGCTAGACAAAATATTTGACGATTTTTGTGCGATTTAGGCAGAAACAAAAAACAAAGAGCCGTTATAAAATTTCCCAGAAGTGGTCGTCTAAAGAACGTCTCGCACTGGGACGACTTCGCTTGTTTTGGTGAAACTGCTGTGGCGCTGGCTACTGCAGGATTTCTACTGGTCCTTCGAGCATTTCATATACCTATATGCACTTGTATTGTACGACTGTAAATAGTGTAAATGGTGGACGCAGCCCCGCGGTGGGAAAAGGGTTAACATCTGCGACTGGCTGGATAAAGATCTTTTCAGCCAATCGAATCGCAGTTGTCCAAAATGAAGAGGGCGCGGCATTTTTGGTTTTTGCATTTTACGTTGGATAAAAAATTATACGTAAGAGTTCCGTGGATTCCATAGAAATACAATTTTTTTTATATTCATCGTATTTAGTTATATCAAATTTGCACTCTAAATCCCAAGATTATCGTTGTCCCTCATCAAACTTACTCATTTTACATTTAAGACTACAAAGTACTACGTAAAACTCGTAGATCTTTAAAAAATATAACATTTTTTACTGTAAAATAAAATTAACGCCATGAATCGCAAGTCATGATAAAATAATAGTTTGTTCAGAGTACATGCGATTGACACTCGCGGCAAAGCTAAAAATCATTATGTTCCATGAGGATTGCTTCTCTTCGTCCCGTGGCATGTATAAATTTGTTTACCAACCCTGCACCCACAAAGTAATAACGCAGTTTTTGCATAAATTTAGGCGCTTGTTTTTTCTCTATTAAGAAAAAAAAGACAATAGAAATGAAAAATATTTAAGATATTGCTTACTGGTTTTAACGATTTAGAATAGTAAAATACAGTAACATACATAACTAGATAATACACTTCTCAATACGTATTTTAAGTTATTACATTTTTTTATACATGTTACATCTGAAAGTTGAGATATTGTTTCTCTTTCGGTTTATTTTTCAATCAACATAAAAAAAAAAAAAAAAAAAAAAANGACGACTCACCGTGGTCCTGGGTCATCGACACGACCGCCGGACTCGTGTTGGCACTGTTGGCAGCGGCAATGTTCGTGTTGGTCCCCTCGTCAGCCGTCCTCTTGAAAAAGTTGTGCTGCAGCGCATAGTAAGGTGTGACTCGGGTTTTAGGATCAAAGTTATTCGCCCTGTGTGTTGCATTAATTACCATTGCGCTCGAATACGTAACAGCCAAACCGACACGAGAACACGACGCGAGAGTTCACTATTTTTGTGCGATCGATTAAATATATGTATGATGAAATTTTTGTTTCAAAAGTGAATCACGCAAGTTGTATTAATTTTTTAAACTTTATATGTGATAAAATAAAAAGTATTTTTGTAATGCCATTCATCAATTTTTGTAATGTCACGATAAATAAAACTCATAATAATTGAATTGTTTACTCTAATTAAAGCAAGGGGATGGTATGAATAAATAAAAAACACAGATGCATTTGTTTATTATTAACCTTATGTAATATTGTTTCAAATGTTCAATTACAATATTATGTATAATATTAATAATATGAGCAGTCTGCAGACTGGCAGAATCGCGCTAAGTTTNTGTTATTTTTATATTCGTATACTGCGGCGCTCATCATGTATACATCATTTCTTTAATATATATATATACATACACAAGTTCCTTATTAATATTTACACACACATGTTACACACGCAAACGCGTGCGCGCTCGAGCGTTCAAACAATAATTGGAGTAAGTAACGTCTCGCGTGTAGCTCGCTCATCTTTGGCTCTTTAGCTACCTCTGCACATGCTCCGATCGGTGGCGTTCAATTGACGATCGAGACGCGTATTTTCTTTCTCTCGAATGTGTATATGTATAATAATAATAATGTTAATAATAATTAATAAGTTCCTCGATGGACGCTTGCTCGCCACTTTGCAGGCATTTATCAGTCGTATTGTAGTATAATTCTTCTGAACACAATGTTTTTACACATGACTTTAGGAAACTTACGTTATTTCTGGCGGTACATGTTCCAAAGATTCGTTACTTAGTACATTCAAGCGTCACAATTAAATAAGGTATGGTGTAATATACAAATTAATAGTTTCCCAAACGAAAGAAATGCATTCACAGAATGTGAAAAAAAAAGGATTATACAACTAACAAAGAAAAATTGAAGTAACACTTACGTATATATGTTTGAGATATAATTATAATACAAGCACCTTTGATTTCCAAAAATCAGCGCACATTAATATAATTTCATCGCTACAATTAAGGATACAAACATCATAAGACGACACGAGAATAACGATTTGGAAAAAAGGTGTGAATTACAAAAATTTAAATCTTGCGGAGCATGTATCGCTGATATCTTATGCTATGTAATGTGTACAATCCTGTCATTTGCTAATTGGCTTAAATACTCGGTATTAAAGGGTCAACTGTTGTTAAGTGGCGAAAGTCTCCGGATTCATCCAGGATCGTCAAGGAACGACGTGTACATTAAAAAAAAAATATATATGTATGTATATGTTTATGTATATGTAACGAAAATAAAGAACGCAATTCTTTGATTTTTATAAATTACGAACTAACAATGATTGAATGATCATTCGAAAAAATTTTAAAACTTCACTATACATAATTTCGAGTTCGTAATAACCATTACACTTATTTGCCACAAAAGAAATTGTCCCCAATCAACAGAAATATAAAAAGAACCATAGTGACATTAATCGTGTACCAAAAAATACCAATTTTTAATGATCGCTAAAATTATGTTTGCAATTAAAAAAGTTAATTTCATAAAAAATGTACAGCAGCATGTTTCGATTAAAATAATCAAAATTTACCAATACTTTTAATTGCTCCATAACAATTTCATTTGAATGCACTGAAAAATCAATATTCTAATAAATATCACTCAGATTCTCTTTTGTACTTCATACATTTTAGCAACATAAATTTAGACTTAAATAAATGACTGAACTAGACTACTAAATGATATGAAAATTAATTGAAAAAAAATTAATGATCGTCATGTAAAAGAGAAAAACTCAATGTAATGAAATAAAGAACGAAATGCCTTGATGCGACTGGTTAAAGGTAACGCTGTACCCAAAAATCACCGCTATAATTTGCTGGTCATTTTTGCATTTCGCTTTTATTTCATTGAAGGAAAAACAATAAACATTTTGTAAGACGTAAAATGTTCAATTGTTAAAGATTTGCCTAAAAAATCAAGCTAAAATATCCACTTTTGAAACGAGTCATGCCATGACTGCATCGCAAAGGCGTAGTGAAAACTTTCGCGTACGGAATCTTAACAGAGAGATTTGGAAGAGGTTTCACCCGAAAAGTCATACCGTTTGTTTCTTATTTGCTTTATATTTTCTTGAAGTGTACTGATTTTTGCCGTTTCGCTCAGAGATTATTTCTTACGTTTTACTTATATTCTCTTTTTTCTTCTCATCATTTCTGAGAATGTCAGAATTTATCACAGAAAATTCTGAGCATTGCTCGTACTCGTCCAGAGACCTAGTGATTAATTAATATTAATTTTTAATTTTTACTTTAACCGTGTCCAACGTGCATCAATTTTATTATTACATAATATTTACTCGGTTAACATGCTCGACTTTTATCCGTTTGGCTGCGGCAAATTCGACAGTTTCCTCGTTACGAACAAATTTTAAAAGTCACCTTTGATTCGTCCATCTAAATGATCGATCTCAAAGCGAGATAAAAATTACGATGCAGTTTTATCCAACAAAATTCGCTGATCTTAGAAAAAGGCTTTGAAACGGACGCGTATTTATATTCTCGACGTTATGCGTGTAGAAGTAAAGAGAGACATAGCAATGTACACTTACACGCGCCGTCATCGACGCTGTGATATAAAAATATATAAACAATTTGATGAATCTGTACGTCATTCCAACGGAATTCGTCGTTTACAAGCTAAATGATCGATTACGAAATGGTTGTTTTTTTTTTCTTGTTTTTTCCAAGAAGCTGAATGAAATATTCGCCCTGTGTGTTGCATTAATTACCATTGCGCTCGAATACGTAACAGCCAAACCGACACGAGAACACGACGCGAGAGTGCGAGGAAAGATTTTCCAACCTGCGTGTGAAAAGGTTGGCATCAACTGCGCGAATTTTATGTTCATTATCGTTAAAAATGCATACATCAGATTTTTTTTTCTTTTTCTTTTTTTTTTCTCAAAATTTGTCGTCGCTTTATTATTACAAATAGTGCAAATCATGCTAGTATTACAAAAATGAAACTATACGCTCGAAATGTACATGTATATGTATAATATATGATTCGTCAATTAATTAAATGGTTATTAAAATTCGTTAGTTTTTTTTTTTTTTTTCTTTCATTACCAGTATTTTTAAGCTTATGACATCAGACGCTTTAACAGTCTTGAGCGTTTAGGTATTAAAAAAGGAATTTATGGTTTCTTTTTCAAGAATTGGTAGTACAATCAACGCGCGTTCTCTGCGTGTATATTAATCGTCCGATCGCTCGTCAAAATACTGTGAATAAAAAAATCTTAACCATAGTTTCAGTGTTTTTATTTTATCTCTTCTTTCTCTCTATTATTCAGTACGTGTGAGTCTTCTCCGTTATGTGTTTTTTTTTCTTTTTTTTTTTTTTTTCTTATCCTCTTATAATTATCATTATTAATATTATTCTCTTATAATTGTAATAATAATTATTATTATCATTATTTTTATTATTACTTTAATAATTCTTACTCTTATTTATATATCTCGAAAAAAAGCAGTTTCTAAAAAATTCGTGCAGCTCGCTATCGTTTCGCATTCTCTCTTTGAGCTCGGATGTAAAATTCAATTCACACTATTACAGGCTGAGAGCACAATAGCATTTTTACACGACAATATACGGTTAATGATAAAGGAATATTATAACGCGTTAATTGGGAGAAAAACGGCAAAAATCAATAACGACGTTGGGACTGCTTTCATGTTTACCTTGTGTGATACGCACATGTGTGTACTGTTTTATTACAAAGTACCTATATGTATGTTTTTTTTTTTTTTTAATTTTATTTTCGTATGGTTATATCATTCATGATGATTCTTAGCGTTTATACAATTTAAACTTTCTCATCAATACTTCAATACTTTTTTTTAAATTTTTTTATTATTTTATTTTTTTTTTATAGTTTATGTATAAATATGTATTGTTAAGTCACGCAAAGACTCGTTGAGTTTGTCTTGTTTTCTTATTATTTCTTTTACCTTTTTAAATATTTTTATTCAAGTCCCTGTATAAGCAACAGCTTGGAATTTGCGCCGCTCAGCGTGATCGATCCATACATTCACAACGCCTTTTCGAATCCAAAGTAAATAAAAAAAAATTGAAATTCACGAATCTCTCGTTCTCTCCCGAAGTATTTCATTTTCACATGCACGCTGTGTTTGTTTACGTCTCTCGCTCTCCCGCATACCAACAGTATTTTCCCCTCGTGCACAAAAAACACACGTTCTCTTTTCTTCGCTATTCTGCATTTACAAAGATAAGACCCTAAAGCTGCACTCACTTAAGCGCATTGTACAAAGAATCCTTTTTTTTTATTATTATTATTTTGCATTTTTACTGCTGGTACGCGCTATATATACCTTTTACATCCGTCACATCATGTATAAAACTCTATGAGAGTACATGATTATTACATTGTTTATTTGTATTATGTTATTTATTTATTTATATTTTTTTTTTTTAATCCCCATTAAATTTTAATTATTACAATAATAGGTAATTATCACTTTTTTTCGTCTGTAGGCCACAGAGTTCATGTTTATTGGTAAAAGTTAATATTTATCCCTAAATTTGCTTTGTCCTTGCAGTTTCTTCATCTTCATCTTCTTCTTCTTCTTCTTTATCATCATCTTCTTCGATAAGCATCGTCATTATTGTTATTTATAACCATCATTGTTATTTGTTTTAAATAATTATTAATTACATTTTAATTAAGTTAATGGTGGGCAGGGCCCGCGAAAACAGAAGGCCAGGCTCGGGTTCCATCCTCACACTAGGCCGTGATTCCTCGCGCGTGTACGTAGATAAGGGTGACACGCGCGGCGCGCACATCAACCCCTCTTCTCCACCTTCTCCGTCAACCTTCGCGTGCCTTTCATTGTTATTTTTATATTCGTATACTGCGGCGCTCATCATGTATACATCATTTCTTTAATATATATATATACATACACAAGTTCCTTATTAATATTTACACACACATGTTACACACGCAAACGCGTGCGCGCTCGAGCGTTCAAACAATAATTGGAGTAAGTAACGTCTCGCGTGTAGCTCGCTCATCTTTGGCTCTTTAGCTACCAATTTACAGACAAGTCCTTTTATTTTATTTCTTCTTTCTTTTCTTTTCTTTCTTTCTTTTTTTTTTTTTTTTTTTTTACTTTAAGCTAGTAGACTTCTAGCAAATCCTCCGATCGTCAGCCTGCTAATTTCGCTTATTCTTCTTCTGGTAAAGCGCAAGCCTTTCGTACGTGGTAAGATATGCTGCGATTCTTTCCCGAGGAATGATCTACTGCTACAGCTTAGAAGGCAAGGGACTTCCTTTCTCTCTTCAGACTGACACCAGGAGGGTCCACCCGATTAACCGATACCTTAATTTTTTTGGTTTTTCTCTTTCTTCTTGTCTCCTTTTGTCCAATAATTATTCGTCGAAACGACGAGAGTTACTTTTCGGCACCATAACTTCGTATTCAACTTGTTGCAACTTAAGCACGTAATCTTGAAAAAAATTATTTTTGCCCTCGATCAGAGATGACGCTCAGCCGCCGAAATAGCGTTCTCCGATGCTCGTCACTGCTGCACACTTTTGTCTTGAACTTCACGTTAAAATTTCGATAAAACTGATGGCCATTTAAAAAATAACATTTGCACCCATGAGTCTCTATGGTTTTTTTCTTCTTTTTTTTCAATGCACGGAATCCAAAATCCATTTGCGGTTCGATGCAAACAGCCATCGGTGAGTTCACACACAAAGTTGGTCTAAAAAAATTGCACTTAAATAATATAAACATATTGTCTTTTGTTCAAACGTGACTGACGAGACACTTGTCACACAATTATTCTTCCTCTTTGGCTCGAAGACAATCAAGCAACTAAAATGTCATTAATTTTTGGATAAACACATATCGCGTGTGCAGAAACAAGTTGATTTGCCCAAGATGAAATTAAATTAATATAGAAACAGACGATAACATTATTAACAACATTAACAACAACAACATCAACAACAACAACCTCAATAACATTCTCCAAAAAAAAAACAGGTGCCAAAAAGACAAGCTCTCGGAGGAGGCGTTGGCCCAAAAGAAGACTCATGTACCAGTTATGTATGTATTATGTATGCGCGTGTGTGTGTGTGTGCGTGTAAGCGGGTCCTTGACAGTCGAACGAAGAAGGTCTCGGAGAAGTTTGGCCTCCTTCGCGGGCAGTTGACTGCCGTGCACAGTGAGCAGACAAACGGCCGCCGGCCACGACGACAAATCAGTGTATGGCCACCGGGCTCTGCTGCACGCAAACGCCCACCATCGGGCTGTCCTCCCGCTCGGCCGAGTCGGGCCCCGTCCGCTGCTTGGCTCCGGCGGCTGCCGCGACGACGACTTGCGAGGGCACGACGACCTGTCGGTGGTGGTGGTGGTGGCCCGCGACCTCCGAGCCCACGGAGCCGTAGCCCGAGTACGAGTTGTAAAAGCTCGGCTGGCTGTGGTGATGATGATGGTGGTGGTGGTGGTGGTGGTGATGGTGCTGTTGCTGCTGCTGAGGATGGTGGGGAGCCGTAGACGAGGAGCCCATCGTGGTCGCGGGTAGGTGGGGAATGCTGGGAAGAATGAGGCTGCGGTTGTACGAGCCGAGGGAGCCCTGCACGAGGGAGGTGGTGGAGGAGGAGGAGGAAGAGGAGCCACCGGTGCCGGGGTCTATGGACGCGGGCGCCGAGTTGGACGGTAACGAGGTACTGGTGCCACCGGCGCTTGAGACCGGGCCGGCTCGCCTGGAGCCAAGCTGCTGTTGCTGGTGTCGGGGCGACGACTCGCACTCCATGGGCTGGTAGCCACAGGTGGAGCTCACGCCGCTCGGGCCCGCTTGCAACTGTTGCTGCTGCTGCGCGCTCGTGCCGCCGCTACCACTGCCGGCGCTCGCACTACCGCCCCCGGTGCTGCTGCTACTGCCTCCGCTGCTGCCCTGTCCGGACATGCTAACCAGTCCTAGAGAAATGGAAAAAGATGGGCAAAGATTAGATGATACGCTTGTCAACGTTGACCTTACGGAGAGCCACTTCCCAGGTGTTTCATTGGCTGGGTGCTTGCTTATGCGGAGCTTGGACAAATCCCATCCAACAAATAAGACTTTGTCGAACGAACTTTATCCATAAGTCGCTCGCAAGGACAGTTGCTTCCGTAAGGTGGAAAGTACTAAAGAGATAAACATGAAAGTCTGGGACTACTGTTACTATAAGACTAGAATATATATGTATAGGTTATAGATATAAGTGTGTAATAAACAGTGGGTTGTTTCAATATCACGAAAATCTAGGTAAAGGTCATCGAGAATAACATGACTGTTATGAGGATAACGCGAGAGACACACCCACGAGGTGAGGATAAAAAAAAACACTTGTGAAGCTTTGGGCTTTTAACTTGACTGAGGATTGCGTTAAAAAATGCTTGAAATCAATAGGTGATGTTTTTTTAGTTTATAATGATAATTTGCAAAAGCATGCTCAACCAATGATTAAATGCAATTATGCAATAGATGAGACTGCGAATCGAAACCGTTATCCTCGATTTATTATCATTATTCTTCTCTCGATGCATCAAGTTAAGCTTCACGTCGCGGTAAATATGACAATTGTAGAGGAATCATTGTATTTTTCATGCATTACTTCATGGTCACAGCAAGCAATTTTGAAAAAGAATGTATAATCTATGCTATGATGAAAAAATCGATATTTCTCTTAAAAAAAAAAAAAAAAAAAAAAAAAATAGGGGGTAGGGGTTTGACATGCCACAAATCCAATTGATTCACCTTATGTAAAATTTACAAAGTACACAAGCCATCAAATACATGCGTAAATGGAATTCGAGGCAATAGATGATAATGATAGATCACACAGATGCTTGGAAGCTGGCACACATCGTTCGAATACATATGTTATATAGACTGTTAACCATGTAAAATATACTGTTAGCATTCTCTCAAGCATATTTCATGGCTGGAAAGGTAACATATTCCGTACGAAATTCCAAAGGATGATGTTATGATAATGTACAGGATGCAATGAACAAAACGGAAGCCAGATCTACTGAATTTTTGACTGCAGAAATCAGATCCAAGCTTTGGGCTACAGAGACATACTTTGATCCATTGCTTGGCCATGTTTCTTTCGTTCATCTACCAATTCTTTTTTATGATATCAAGCACATGGTTATGCGCACAAAATTAAAGAGAAATACGTGAGACCAAAAGGGATAGACACAATCAGAGGTTTATACAAATCTCTCAAGATATTAATAATTCTCAGCATTAAAAAAAAAAAAAAAAGTAGGAATTTGTGTTTGTTAGAATAGAACTTACTTATGTTAGTAAGTAAGATTAGGGTTGTGGGGCCTAGGACAGGTCGTCACCGCCCCGCGGATACGACAGTCATCGAGCCACGTACTGTCCCCCCATCATATCTACGGGCAACAACAACAAGTATTGTTTAGTTTGTGCAGAAAATAAACACAGTAAAGAGATATTAAATAAATTATTTTAGAAAGTAGAGGAAATAAATGACATATATGTAGTTGTAGTATTGTTATTACTGTTCACTGACAAGTAAAGTTTTTTTATCTACATTGCGGCGTGCCATTACTTATGAAAAAAAAAAATTTTTAATAAGCTGCAGAGGACAGTATAAACTCTTAGATGGTCAAATGTTATTTTATGAGTAATCAGTGTGAATTTTAAACTAAATCATAAGCTGCGGATAAGATCTAGTTCATAATTCTAAAGAATGTTAGAACCATAAAAGCTTATAAAAAAAAGAAACTCAATCTCCGTACGGACAAAATAAGGACTATTGGTGTTGATGAAACTGAAAAAAAAATGATTGACATTGATTTGATAGCTTAAAGTAAACTGCTATATGAGAAAAGACTCCTTACTTTCTGCACAAAACAAAACTTCTCAAATAGCCACTTACTGAGCAAATTGCAATAAATCGTTCAATCGACATTTTTTTTGATATTTATATAAATATTTACTTTACAAATAATAATTTGCTGTTTTATCGAAAGGTAAATACACATATTGAGATTCGAATTACATTGAAAACAAAAATGTCGATTAAATGCGTGAAAAAAAAAAAAATTCCGTCAATATCAACACTTTTAATCGCTCATACGGACATCGTAACTAAAAACAAAAGTTACATTACTAATGAAAAATGGATGATGAGTGACATTAAGCACATAGAGTATTTTTTTTTCTTTTGATCATTGGTAATTAATCAAGTTAACACGTTGTCCTCTAAAAATAGAAATCCAAAAATGATCAGTGACGTGTATGCGGACACCGCAAAAGTGTTATAACTTTGGCCTTGTCCTTTTTTGTTATGAAAAAACAAATATATATTATTCGATAGGCATGATATATATATCGTACAAAATGCTTTCCTGTGCTGACGATCAGTGTAATAAAAAATTTCATTGAAAACAACAAAGCACGAATGGACGTAAGGTTACAGTCAAGTATCAGGAAAGCATTCTCTCGAAAAGATTTTTAATAGAAAGAAAGAGAGAGAGAGAGAGAGAAAGGCAGCGTATTTAGACGGGTATATATATGTATATATATTTGCTTGTATCGACAAAGACGACTCACCGTGGTCCTGGGTCATCGACACGACCGCCGGACTCGTGTTGGCACTGTTGGCAGCGGCAATGTTCGTGTTGGTCCCCTCGTCAGCCGTCCTCTTGAAAAAGTTGTGCTGCAGCGCATAGTAAGGTGTGACTCGGGTTTTAGGATCAAAGTCGAGCATCCTGAGAATGAGATCCTTGAATTTGAGGTAGTCGGATATCGAGTGGCCGGGCTCGCCGTGCCGTCTGCCACCCGGACCGCCCGACTCGACGCCCAGTATGTCGTGCAGCCGCCTCGTGCCCGGCTGCTTGTACTTTTTGCCCTCCTTCGACTTTTTCAACACGTACGAGCCATCCGTGGGAACTTTGTCGAAGTACTTTCGCGCTTTGTGCGCTTGGTCCAATATGTGCTTTGGCGGCATCCCCAGCACCTCGACGATCTTGTTCATTTGGTCGACCTGCGCACAATCCCGACAATTAATCATTACTATACATGCGTTACGTGCTTGTGGAGTGTTGCACCTCTTAGTGAGCTATACTCAAGATAAATCTTATTTTAAATGAAACCCCGACTATCTGGTACACAGGCTAAAAACAACGATACTTATGTTATCGCTGTAATTATGAAAAAAAAAAGATTTGCCTTTTATGTGCAAAGTGTTTTACTCGTTTTACCAACTTTTTCACATTACATCAGTAAAATGATATCGAAACATCACAAGTGTACCAGACAGTCTTGTACTTTTGTTTTTGCCCGTAAATAACCCATTTTGGCTAAACAGAATCCACACGTGTGCAATTAAAGAAGAAAAAAATAAGACTTTACTTTCCGGTAAGCCTAGGTGTAAATATACATGGGCTGGCAACTCACCTCGTTGGCGCCGCTGAACAGGGGCTCTCCCGTGTGCATTTCCACCAAAATACAGCCCAGGCTCCACATGTCTATCGCAAGGTCGTACGGAATACCAAGCAACACTTCGGGCGACCGGTAAAACCTCGACTGTATGTACTGGTATATCTGAAAGACGAGTTGCACATAGTACCGTATGAGCAAAATTATATTTGGCTGATTGTAAAAAAAAAAAAAAAAATTAGATTACCCTCTGTCCGAGTTGACACGAGCTGCCAAAGTCGACGATTTTGATGGCGCTCCGTTTGGGATTGCAGAGGAGGATGTTCTCGGGTTTGAGATCACAGTGAATGATGTTCAATTCCGGGGTCGAGAGGAACAACAGGGCAGTGCACAGCTGCTGGGCAAACTTGCGCGTCAGGTTGAGCGAGACCCCTCGGAAATTCGTATTCCTGAGTAGGTCGTAGAGGTTGTAGGACAGCAACTCGAACACCAAGCACAAATGGTTCCGCCACATGAAATGCCTCTTTAGTTTAACTGTGGGGAAAAAATCAAGATTTTTAATTCACGAATTATGACGATTTTTCTTATTGAAGGCTACAAAAAGCTCGATTTACCTATATAATACTTGTTTTCGGTGTCCGCTCTGTTCATCATTTCCAACAGCCTGACTTCGATCTGCGCTTGGTTCAGGAAGGGCTTTTTGTTCTTGATGATCTTTATCGCCACCTGGGTCAGGTCCTCGTGGTCATACGCTTTCACCACTTGGCCGAAACTACCTTTGCCTGTGAATGTTAAGAAAAAACATATTTACATTTTTTCATTTTAGGCAAAAAGTATATATTTTCATTTATTCAGTACAGTCTGTCTCGGTTCACGTTTTTTTCTCGCAAACGAATGACTTTATCCCGTGCGAATTGTGATTCAGCTCTCAGGCGAGATGAGTAAACCCGTGAGTCATTTTTCTCGAGAAACTCATTTCGCGTCGCGTAAGGAAGATCATGGTTTTTTTTTTTTTTTTTTTTTTTTTTTTTTTTTTTAATTGATGAATGGTATCAAATTGGTTTTTCAATAGCAGAGACAAAAATGTCAGTGAATCGGCTATAAGACGATTGCTTAAAAATCAAATAGAACTTTGGGAAGTTGTTCTGTGAGGTATACGGTGAATGTCCTAACTATCGCTCACACAAGCAGAGGTATTGTCCCAAATATCGGTCGCTTTATTTTTCTACTCATAGGCCTCAGATATATTATACTTTCAATAAACAACAAGGTGGATTTGCATAAAAAAAATGATTTTTTGGTGCCACCAATAACATTTCATTCGTATTTAAAAAAATGTATATTAAGAAAAATGATCGATTATCGGGACATTTACTTTAAAAACATAGATAGATTGGTTTGCAAGCGAAAGTTAAACGAACACGAGCGATATACAACATAACTTTAAAAAAAAAGCGATGTGTTCCCAGTTAAGGAAGGTTAGGATTGATTGCCATCATGTCTAATTGTACACTCCCCCATAAAATTTTAGGTTAGGTCAAATTCGGCAAAAATTTTTTGTTAAACATTGCTAGATTTCAAAGATGTTTACTAAGCTATAGAAATAAAGTTTATATTTATACGCAATTTCATGCAGGTTATTCGACTTAAAATGATCATTACGAGGATCAAAATGATATTGACAATCAAACATAGACATATAATTGCTGATAACAACATTAGATTTGTTCGACGTTTCTTTAGCTCAGAGATGCTCCTCCCCGAGGCCAAAATGTAGGTAATTTTTAATTATATCGTGCGGTAGTCATTTTATTAATCAAGTTACAAGCAGCGTAACTATCTTTAAAGCGTACATAACCTTATAACGGTGATATCCCCATTTGATTAAGGTAGTTTTTTCATGAAATGATTATGAACAGAATGGCATGAAATCTTGAGGAATCATTTATTGAGTTACAATACACTACCCCTCAAAATTTCACAGTAGGCTGACGAATATAAACGTAAGAAAATGATAAATGAAAATTAAATTCGGAATATGTGCTCTATGGCAACTAAGCATTTTTTTACTGAAAGTTGTAGCCTACTTGTTTATTTACTGAACATTATTATGTAAAAATCCGATACAATAAAGCTTATGCAATTCCAAATATACTATCATCTCGAAATATATGTGATCACGGACTTAATCAAAAGATATTAAAAGAAATACAGGCATACATTTTCATTTCCTATGTTGAATGCATAGGTAAGCATCCACTGCTGGTATTTTGAGGTTAAGCACAAATTTGAGATAATCATTCCTATGAACTTTTATATAGTTTATTATGATCTAAAATTTTGAATCAGTACTTAATTTGCCCAATAACCCTAATAACCCCAATAAATATCAACTTGACAGTCGCACCTTTGACTCGGGAGTCATGAAAGAACCCCCTTAACATTACTGTCCAACTCCTGCCTCCTATTCTATGGGTCCTTACCATAGGTGTCCAACTTCAGCCGCAAACAACGTTAAGTTTTAAAATTAATTATTTTGGAGTGGAAACAATATTTTGTTTTTTCAATTAATACAAAAACAGGCTGTTTAATGGTTAAAAAAACCATTTTTTTGTTGTTGAAAGAATCGAGAAAAGAATGTGATATTTTGTCGTAGACAAAGGATATTACTTTCATCTTTTAAAAACTGTTTGGATATACCTTATACTTAACCTTACGTACATTTCAAATATAGTTTAATGGGCCTTCCATCAGCTCCACCGAGCTAAAGCCTCACCGAACAAATCTATTGCCAATATATATAGCTTCGTCTGCTACAATTTTGATGTTAAGCGCGATAATCTGACGAAAGTCACTTAATTACCAAGACCATATTGTAAGTAACTACTCAAAACTCCACGCAAGTATAGGTATGCATAAAAATTGTTTCAACTCGGCAATTTTGACTATCGTCCAAAAGGCATCCTCGAAAGAGGGGCGTGCAATTGTAATCGAATCGAAAAAAAAGGACTCACCTATCAACGAATCGATCTCGTACCGATCGAGGAACTTCTCCCCGTTCTTGATGATGTAGTCGTGGTTGTCGTCGTCCCAGCCGTCGTTGTACAGCTTTCTCTCCTTCTTGTGCGAGCCGTCCTCGCCCTGCATCTGTTGCGCCCTTCTCTTCTTTTTGGCATAGTACACCTTTTTATCGGCAAAGCAACAAAAAACAGACAAACCCGTCATTAGTTGGTGGAATCTCGTGCTCCTCGGGTGGTTAAACGTCTCGGGGAATAAATACAGGTGTGGTCGGGGTATTGCGTGTTTATGAATAAAATACACCCTGGGCCACGAGACGACTTAATAAAGAGCCATCAATATTAGTGATAGGTATTGCAACTGTTACTTTCCGACTCACATCGTTGTTTATAATATAATTTTACACTGATCACTTGTACGTAGTAGTACGTACTCGACGGGTCGTCGTCGAAACAAAGCGTTCGAGGTACCGATTGTTATTGCGAATCATGAAATGATGATAAAAGCGGGATATCTAAATAACGGATCGACTGAAACTCGGTAAAACCAAAAGTTGTGTTATAAGAGGCCTAAGGGAAGGGATTATGAGAAATACGCGGAAAAATACATACATGAGATCATGAGATAAGTAGCAATAATAATACACATAAGTTGGGGAATGCCCGCATGTGTATACATGTTGTTTATACTAGCACACAATGGATGTAAGTAGATGAAGTGCAAAAAAAAAAAAATACAAAGTCATTGATCGACATGCAACGAGATGTTCGCTCGAAAAGATTTAATTTTTTTTTACTTCTTGAATTCCATACTAGTGCTGCTAGTAGTGGGACTTTGTTTTATATTTATTTGTTGTACTAAGTGGTTAACTTTTTTCCAACGTGTTTAAAAAATTGCTTTGTTTTTCCAAGAAATTTTGCAGTAATGTATAGTGCATTATACGCAATCGGCAACTGGTTTGCCAAACTTTCATTCTTTACTACCACAAAAACAACGAGTGTTTTTTTTTAACCTAAATAATTTGTCATATCTTTACTAAAAGTTTTTTCGGGGAAATAAGCTCGTAAAAAGTTTTTTACAACTCAGATGAAGCTCGCAAAAAGAGCTTTTTAAATGAGACTCTTAATTGTTGGATAAAAATGAATATCCATAGGAGTAACATTTTTCTTCAAATTTCAATAAAAAATAAAGCGAGTAGTTGAAGAAAAAAACTCACTCTTTTCAATTGTAGCTTCGCCCGGACAGATTTGGAGGATATAAAGAGAAGATCAGATCAAAATTTACGGGTAAAGTTTTACTGATTTGATTCATTTTTGACGTAATGTAGCAAATTGCACGTGATTTCAAGGTATTATTTTCTAAATCAACCTTATTTTTGTGCAATTTACTTTAACCATCTTTAATGTTTGACTAAGCAAATGTTTTCCTGATAATAAAATGTTTGACCAAAAAATTTCTTTCACAACTTCAAAGCAATCAAAAAAAAAAAGGATGATACACATCGGTCAAAAACTTGAGTAAATTTTCTCCAGAACCACGATAAAGCAATCAATTTTTCATAGAACCGCTCCTATACTTCTAAACGTAATATACACCTATACTAGATAGAGGCACAGATTTTCAGAAAGAAAAAAAAATAAATAAAAATTTGAATTCACCCGCGCACAGCTGCAAGTGGACATGGGCGTGGGCATAATAAGTACACTCGCCGTACCTTGATTTGCAAACCGCAAAGTTTGAAGTCTTAAATTTTTTTCATGACAAATCAACATAAAATATGATTTAAACATTGTTCAATAATTGTTAATATGATAGTTGTTTATCGTTGTATTTTCATTTTATGGTTATGGTTGTTCCTCGTGTTTTAATACGATAAATTACTTCAAGAATTGAAACTTCGCGGTTTTCGAATCAAGGTACGGTGAATGTACTTGCAAGTATTAGAAAGCAACGCATTATTAAAGATATCTAGCATTTTTCTCCCCATGCGGGTCCCTTTCTCAAAAAGATCCGGCAAACGAAGCAAAAAGGAAGTTGCACGCATATATGTATACAAGTTACATAATTATATGTGTACATGTGGAGCTGCGCCATGCCAGCTGCGCTACTCCTTGTGATAAGAATCGCGGGAGAGACGGAGAGATAGCCGCCGCGCGCGGGAAGAGCCGTAGAGGGAGCGCCGCTCTTTCGAGGTCATTGACACTGCCGGGAGGGAGCAGCCCCCGAGCGGCGCACCGGCCCTCTCTCTCTCGCTCGACAACTTCGCGAACCCCCCCCCCTCTGATTCCGTACTTCGCTTACCCTCTCGCAAGGGTATACACAATAATACTCGCCCCGAAGCTATACCTTGCCTCCTCCTCCTCGCGTCTGGCTATCGCATAGTTCTCCTTCTCGTCTCTCTCATTCGCGTTGATATCCCTTCGGTGCAGCTCTTTAACGTCGTCCTGTATATAAACCCGTCGGACATGTGCGTGCTGTGTTTTAACTTCACGGGGCACCGAAGCTTCTATCTTTCCTTTCGTCCTTCCTGATGGATGGGGGCGTTTCCCCCCCCCCCTTTTTTTCGTATTTACACCCCACGTTTTGGAAATTTTCTCCTACCCTGGGAGATTGCAAGAAATTTCGATCGCACGCGCGTGTTTTTTAAAAAATGGTTGATTGAAAAAACGAAGAAGGACGCTTTAGACAAATATTTCCAGAAACTATCTTAGTATGCTTTTTTTTTTTTTTTTTTTTTTTTTTTTTTTTTTTTTTTTTTTTTTTTTTTT